TGTGGAAACTCTGGAACACCAAATTGATGTAATTCTGACTTAGGTGTTCCTGTGTGCACCCTTGTCATAGCAGGGTGGCTGGAATGCAGCTTGTGTACACGTTAGTCCACATACAGCAAGTGGAATGAGGTTGCCTTGGCAGTTTATTACTGCAGCAAAGAAATAGATGCTTTAACAGACTTGCATCAATGGACAGAAGAGCAGTGCAGTTTAATGGGTGTTGATTTTTATTCCTAAGTCTTCCTGTAATGCTGATGGGAGGAGATTCCACGTTGATTTGCTTCGACAAATCTGCATGGACCAACATAGCCTGAAAAGAAACCCTCGAGCTCATACTGATGTGTGGTACTCCTATAGCTGAGGGTAAAACCAAAAAGAATGGCAGCAGAAAAAACACTTAGTAGGTAATGAAGTTATGAAAGATGTTACCCCATCAGAAGCACTTACATCGGTATCACCTTGATATTTATTTTAAGCTGTCTCCTCAGTTCCTGAGGAGGAATAAGACTCTCTTGCCAAAAAAAAAAAAAAAAGCTGGTTATTCATGTCGTGGTATTGAGTTGCACAATGTAATGATAAGTAGAGTTTCAAAGTTCTGTGCAGCTTGAAAAATACACAGATTCCTCATAGTTATCTCAACCTGAATTGGAGAATTTTGCCTTGTTTGATGGGCTTTTTTTGGTCTTTGAGATGATGATCTGGTAGGTGTGGTGTGGCAGGTGGCCACATGGTATTGAAGCAGCTGTAGGCTGTATCTTGCCTGCAGTGCCCCCAAGCTATTGAATCATCTTCCTTGCTCCTTTGGGTTTTTTTTTTTTGGTTTATTTTGAGTGGGGTGGTTCTGTGGCCACTGAGCTGATGGCTTCCTGTAAACTTCAAGCACCCATCTCGTACATCTGGCAACCACAGGGAATTTCTTTCTGCAGATGAGAATTCTGTGTATGATGATAAATGGAGGCATAATAAAATCTGCATAAAGTTTTTCTTGCGCTTCCTCAAAGGCTGTCATCTCTGTGTTTGTTAGTTATTTCTTTAGAATAACTGTCAGACCAGGTGTGCACCTTTCTGTGTGGTGGCACAGCTTCCATGCCTCTGCATATACAGGGTGCATTTTACCTGTGGCTGGCAGGTCATCCTTCCATTTATTAATGGCAGAACTGTTCATGGATGTCATAAAGAAGTTACTTTTAAAATTGGCACCTGAAGTTCAGGTCATGCTAATGAACCTGATTGAGATTCTGTTAACATTGGCCAGTTGAGGGAGAACATCTTTAGTTTAGCTCTGTGTTATTTTAACCATTCCCCATTTTCCAGTTCTCAAAGGTATTTTTTTTTATCACAGATTTTCACCAGCTTTGCCTTTGTGTTACATCTGCTAGGCTTTTGGCAGTATTCTGGTTTTCTGGATGAGGTTGAGTAAATAAATACATATTTATACAGAAAATATGTTCTTGGTCGTCCCCTAGCCAAAAAAAACAACCCCCCAGATCCAAACAAACTCATAGTAGCAGTTTTCTGTGTACTATAATTGTGAAATAGCATTGCTTATAGTGTATAAAGGAAGGGGAACTGTAAATGCATTTTCCCTCTGCACAAGCACTTGTACTGTAGTTTTTGTATGTGTTGTTAGTAATTATGGCATCACTGTTTGGTTGGGTTTTGTGTGTGGTCTGTAAGCTGTCTCTGAATTTTACCTGCTTTGACTGTTTCTTTTTTAGTCTTTGCTTTCTTTGTATGTGACTCCCTTTAGGTTTAGACAGCACAGTAAATTTACAAAAAAGAAATGGTCTTCAAGCTGCTTTAATCACCAGTGTGTAAGCTGAAAAATCTGTGTGTGGGAATGGATTGAACTGGCCTGAGGCACACAAAAGTGGTGAAACTTCCTTTTAATGAGTGTTTCTGTTTCAATAAATTCAGTAAAGACTTTTTAGCCTTCTTAACGTGGCTTTGCATCGTGTTGTGATTAGAATACTTTGTAGTTAAGTACTTATTTCCATAATTGAAAGTTAAGACACTAAACACTGGTTAAGAGCACTTAATCATATGGTGCAGGTGCATATTTGTTTTAGATGACCTCCTCAGAATGTAATCAAAAGAAACCTGCCCATCTGATGATTTCCAAACATTTATGTAATGGAGTTGTGCAAGATTTGTTTTGGAATTAGCATGCACAGCACTCACTGGTCTGGATTTTAATAGGAAATTTAACAAGTGAGTTCACTCACCTGGCTGATAGGTTTATAGAGAGCAGAGGTATCAAGAGCTCACTTAGGCTGTTTCTCTGTTTCCAGACATGATCTCTAAACCAAATGTGACAAGACCTTGTTTAATGTGTTCCCAATTACCACCCTTTTTGTAACTGCTCTCTTACCTCCTGTGCTGTGATTTAATTCTTACTTAAAGCCAATTTTAGGAGCTTATTCCAAGGCTTCCTTTTCACTAGTGTTGAGAATAATGCTTTGGCTTCAATTGTAATAGGGAACTGTTTATAATAGCAAACCCAGCTGTTACTAATAGAGTGTATCTATTGACCTTTATTCCATGTGATAGTTATTTGTAGATCATTTCTTCCTGTTGTAAAAGGACATTATCGTACACGCAGACAAGCTATGAAATGGGAATAGTACAGCATTAATGCTTTCCTTCATGTGATGCTTGCTAGGAAAAAAAAAATCCCTTCCTGCTTTGGAAAGCTGTGGATGTGTTGTAATGGTGTTAAGTAGATGAAATTTGTCAAGACAGGTAATGTTTATGTTCACTTCATAGTAAAATATACGTCTCAGTTCCCTGGGAAGTGATGAAATCTTCAGAAGGTGTACTCTGAAATTCTTCTGCTGGAACAGAAGTGGTAGATGAAGACAATGCAAGGGTGTTTAAAAACAAGAAAACCCCAAGCTTCTTCTATGTTAGTGTGGAATTCTTTCTAGCACAGGCTAGAAATACTTAAGCAAGGGGCACAAACAAGAACATTCATTCCAGTCACTTAGGAGTTAACTTTTGGTTCTTGTTCAGATTTGCACGCTCCTTTTTAAACAATTTGTCATGTTAATGCAAAATAAAATGAACTAATGGGTGTGTAATGGAACTGTGACTGGTAGTGCTTCATAGCATCTCATTCCTCATGGGGAGGAGATGGGCAGAGCAGGGAAGGTATCCCTCAACTTCAAGCGAAGATCTGCTTCTAAGCAGATTCAGGGTTGCAGAACTTGCTTTTTTGCACTCCAGTTATTCCCATTATGCTCACGTGGCTGTTGTTAAATCTGCTGGCTTTACTAATAATCCAAATCTCACAGAATACATAAACACACATCAGTCCCTTCCAGAAGCTGCCACCAACTGCATGACAACCCAAGCAAAGACTGCACACTGATGAGCAGCGCAGCTCTCCGGTTAGCAATGGAAACAAACCTGGAAAGGAATTATTTTTTGCAGGTGGTTGGTTTATGCTGTGGCACATAACTGAAGGCAGAATCTGTGAGCTGTCCAGATGTGCATGGAAGGGGGTGACGACTTGTTTGTGTAGGAGCAGGTTGAGTGGCCACTAGAGGACAGTGTGCACAAAACCATGAGTTGGGTGCACAGGGGAGCTGGGGAGGTGTCGAGCAAACTTGCCTGCTTTCCCAAGTGATGCCAATGCAAACAAACTGGATTGATTGAGCCTTAGGTGCAGAAAACTTGCTGCATTATGCCTTCTTCCTGGTTAGAAATAAAATAGCTTTTACCAAGCTTGACATGCCTGATGCTCTGGAAGAGATCAGCTATGAGGCATCAGCTGCTGTATGATGGTAACTTGTCCAGTGTTCGTTGACACACAAGGCTAAATACCTGGGATATTTCTGAGTGAAGTATGATCTTAATATATTCTGGAAGGTATTGTATAAACCGTGATTGACAAGGTCTTTGAGAGGGGAGGCTGGCAAACATAACCACATAAAACCACACATGGAAAAACAAAACAAAACAAAAACCTACCACTTTTGCTCTGAGTGCTCAAGTGACAAAGTATCTGAGGGGGAAAGCAAACTGGGGAGGTTGCAGGCCACCTGGGGTAAGTACTATTTCCCTGTGTTAGCTGTGTTGCAATGTACAGTACAGAGCAGATGTGCAAGTTCATGGGAAGCTCTGGGTTGATTGCACAGGTGATGTGGAATGATGTGAAGCTTCATGCCGAGCCTTAATGCTTCACACTCATGTCTGTTTAAAATACACATGTAAGAACATATACACAGTGGTAACTGTAATGTTAAAGCTATTTTCATTCTAAGTGTCTTTATAGTAATAAGATTGATAAATTAAGCTGGGCACACATCTTTCTTTTTTGCTTTTTTTTTTTTAATCCTCCAAAGAGCTGAACAAATTGTGGTGTGTGTTTTCTGCAGGAGTTACTGCAGTCCAAATATGGTTGCTCTGATTGTTTCTTTCCCTCTTCACCCCATAGTTGCCCCTTTGTTTTTTCCAAAGCCCCAGCATTTCCCTGAGTGGTATCTTTGTGTTATGAAACTGCATTAACTAAAAGATCTTTGGAATAATATCTGATCAATTTCCTATGACATGGCAAAATGCATCCAGCTGGGGGATTTTAGGTCTTTATTTCCAGGCTATTTATCTTTGTTAGTCTCCCTTTTAAAATCTCTTATTGGTAGCGTTCGAAGTTCCCAGAAGTGATGGGAAATGCACTTCACCAGTTGTTACACATACATGCAATAACTATCCCCAAAGTTGTACTGTGTGCTGCATTTGACAGAGGCTGTGAGATGAGATGCCATCCTTAGTCTGCAGTCTGCTAAAGCAGAAATTTTGGCTTAAAACTCGAGTCCAGGCTGTCAGAATCCCAGTGATTATTTTGGTCATCGTCCATAAAGATGCATTATGGAGTTAAGGATGCCTAAGGAGTTAACCTGCTGTTCAAAGTAAATAACAAGGCAAGAATAAATAAAAAATTAGGACTTAATATTTCAACGCTGCAATTAAAGAGGGGTGGGAACAGCCTGATCTGCAGAGATGTACATAATGGCAGAGAGGGTGGGCGGTTGGACTGTCAAACTGCCTTAATTTAATTGCAAACACATGCTGATGAGTCCCCTCCTCCTGGACCTCAGGGCTGGGAAACTTTTTTTTTTTTTTGTCAGCTCCCTGCAGCTCAGGATTGAGGAAAATACACTCCAGCAAACACCATGCTGATCAAACCTTCAGCTCTTCTGGGCTTTTGGTGCTTTCTCCTCCTGCCTCGTTCCTCCTGTTCCTGTCCTCCTCGCTGCCTGTGCTTCAGGACCACAGTAAGATGCATGCATCTGATGTTGGAAACCATCCCTGACATCCCACCTCAGACGAGCATATTGTGAGTAACCTTTTCATTTCGCTGCCTTTCTTATCTGCTTGGTGTTCAGGAAATAAAAAGGAAAATGCCTTTTGTCCTTTATTTATTCATCCTTGCTGCAGGATTGTCTGCGCTTGAATCTGTTTCATGCTTTCAGAACATGAACTGCTTCTTTTGTCATTAATTAATGGTTAATGGGGCAGTCAGTTGGGGAAATGCATACTAATAATGCCACACTATCACTGGAAGACGGTTTTGGGAAATCAGGGGTCACAAATGTTAAAACTGAATTATAGAAAGGTACACAGTTTACATTTCAAAAGGATATGGCTGTAGGGGAGAGAGGAAATACTGCAGGTCAGGCTTTTGTCTCTACAACAAAAAACAAACACCACCACAACAACAAAAAACTTAATTTTTCGTAAATAAAACCCCTTTTTTTCTCTAGACTTTTAAGTTTTGGCTTTCCAGTTTGTATCTCAGCTGTGCAAACCAGATGTGAAGTTTATCAATGAAGCAATAATTGGGGCATCTCGCGTTCCTTGAGAAACAAAGTATACCTGTTGAGTTGGCTGTGCCTGTTGTGGAGGGGGCTGCTGGCTATGGCCATTCGGGTGGAGAAGGTGGAGGAAAAGGGCATGAAACACTTGCAGTAAGAGATGTTTAGGAGACTCTCAGGTCCAGGAGAGCACTTTCCTGTCGATGTATAGTAGTAAATCCTATGCTTAAAGGTATCTTCAAGGTGCAGTGCCACATGAGAAAAGTTCAAAGACTTTTTTTTTTTTTTGGTAAATAGCAGGAAAGACTTGTCAAACATCAATCTTAATGCTCATTCTCCTTACATCACTGCTGTTTATGAAACTTATCCAGCCCTGGAGGGTTAAGAAGCCTGTCTCTGTGCTCCTAACCAAATCTGGTCTCAGGCAGAACATCCGAAGCAGCGTGTCTCTTACAAACATTGCACTAATACTCTTAATGCAGTTTACCTACTGACAACTTGATGGGGCAGGATGCTGGCACGATAGTTGTTGCATCCAGGTCTGCTTGGGTGGAAGGGGAAACAGAGGTTCTAGCAGTAGAGGCACACAGGAAAATGCCTGCACTTGCTGCAGCTGCCAGAACTGCCGCCTTGGACTCACTGTGACATGGGGCAGAACAGAATTCCCTCGAGGCATTCAAGGCCAGGCTGGATGTGGCTCTGGGCAGCCTGGTCTGGTGGTTGGCAGCCCTGCACATAGCAGAAGGGTTGGAACAAGATGATCGTTATGGTTCTTTTCAACCCAGGCTATTCTGTGGTGTGTGTATATATAGAATCTGGGCATGCTTTCTCTCTAGGCTGGTGATGCTGCGGTTGCTGCAGTGTGATAATATCTGCTTGATGGTTTGTTGCATGCTTTTTGGGTAGTGGCTGTCTGCTCTGCAGTAACTTACAGTCTTCAACAGTCCAAATTGTTGCCAACCTTTTTCCCCTTACAGATTTTTCTGCATCTTTAAGTATTTAATATGTACGTGCACTGTTTCTAGCACAGCAGTTTGCTGCTGCTTGTTTAAGCATATGTCTTACTGGGGAAAAATTTGGGTGGTGGGTTTTATTTTTTTGGCAACTTATTTCCAAGCTCGATAAAGCTTTATTTTCATTCTTAATTCCAAACAAGACAGCATTTGTTGTTGCAATGAATAGCCTGACTGTGCTTCCTGTGAAGATTCCTTGACTGTAGAGGGAGAGAAATGCACTGTGCTCACCAACTTTTTTTCAGTACAGGAATGGTGTATTTCTGAATGATCTCAGTCAACAACACACTTCATTCTCTTATGCTGTGGGGAGTAAGATGTGACTGCTTATCTATGCAGCTTTAGTAAAAGCATTGGTAGTATCTGTTTGCAATGTATCTGTTTGCAATTTAGCTGACATTGAGTTTTTTTGTGAAACTCAACCTGGACAGGTGGACAGATCTTGCCAGTGCACCATATGCAGTCACCATACTTTTCTCTCCCCTGCCGTGTCTCATCTGCTAACTAGTTAGCATGTGCACTGCTTGTAAATGGGCCATGATTTGCATACTTAACCATTTGGAAAGCTGATTCATTTCGTTTAATGTGCTAACTATAGCTTTGGATGGGGAACTGTGGTTTTAAGCATTAACAGAGTGGTGTAGGTGTGTGATATGAAAGTAGTGTTGTTACAATATGAGACTACTGTCTATATGGGCTGGTATTGCTGAGTGAGATTTACCTGGTGTATGCAGACAATCAGAAGAGAATAATTGTAAGTAAAACCCATACTGACAATTAGTGATCCCTATAGAGAGTGATACGAGCTGTTAGCAGACTGCATGCCTCTGTATGATGTGCAGCAAGCAAAGACACTGACTTTCTGGCTGTCTTAAGGATTTAACGTATGCAAATGCATTTGCCAGCAAGCATCCCATTGTATCTGTTATAAATAGCGTTTGAATAATTACATTTTTTTAATTGTGAAGGATTAAAGAATGCTTCTTAACCAAGCCCCCGACTGCTCCAGCTTTTTGGTATGTTAATTTTTCTGCTGGGAGGAGAACTGTTTGTTCTCAGTTTGAACACTGGGAGCATATAGCAAGAATGGTCTGATCGTGGAGCTATTCCGAGTCAAAAATGTGGGATCGTGATATTTTCCACATTTGCCCATTGGTATGAATAGGACCAAGGCTGTAACTATGGATTCAAACCCCGATCAGAGGCTCCAGCTCTGTTCCCTTGCAGAGCAGCTGCGGCTTCCAGATGAGCGTTGCTTTGTAGTTGCAGTTGGAGACTTTCTGACTTCCGTGACTCCGTGCCACCCTCTCTGCAGTGCTCCTAGTGGAGCAGGGAAGTCTCCTCGCCAGCACACGCTGTGCCTCGACCAGCCCTGCTGGCAGATGGCCCCCAGGGGTTCTCGCCAGCTGGCGGCCCTTGGAGCAGCCCGTGGCCCTCTCGGAGCGATGCTGGGGTTGGCATGGGCCCAGCTCTGGGATTGATGAGCTGTTACTGGCTCCTCTTTGGTCGCCATTTCGCTCCTCCCTTCGGAGTACCAGCTGGGTGCAGCCGAGGACCTGGCCCAGTGTCTGATTTTAGCAACAGGCTGTTTGTCTTCGGTAACGATGCCTGTTGGTTCTATCCTGAGCAAAGAGTAGGACGGCAAGAATGGCTACACGTGTACAGATAAGCTGTAAAAATTCACGATGTTTTAACTGCAAGCGTATTTTGGCTGCTGTTTGTTCAACTGGAACACGATTCTCCAGATGTGATCTGCTGGTTACTGCTGGGATTCACGCCGTTTGTTTAGCCAGCAGCCCAAAGAGGGGAACAGCTGTGAAACATACACTCCGAAAATTTCAATAAGTCTTTAACCTTCAAAGCCATTTGTTCTACAGAGTGACATTTAAAACAATAAACTTTGAAATGCGTGGGCATGAGTAGAAGAAATCTATGGAAAGAAGTTCCCCTCTGGCTGGCAGCTAATGGATTGCAATCCAATTATCCGTGGGTTATTCTCCTTTTTGCATTATGCATAGCACATAATGAATGAACGCTTCCAGAGAAGCATAGCTGAGGGCACCAGCAAAGACGACGCGGTATTTGGCATCTGAATGCATTGCTGGCATGAGCCGGAGGTGACCCAGTTGCTCACAGACCTGGTTGCTAATTGGGCACTGTGAACACGGCCAGCTTGACGAGTTTCTTTTCCTGTCGTCGCTGTATGTTGTGTGTGGCTGGTGGCTGCTTGTTTCTTCTCTTGCACAGCAGTAGGGAGGGCTGTGCCGGGGCAGGGTGCAGCACTTGGTGTATTAAGGAGCATAACTGTGAGAGAGAACAACACACGTTTGTGTGGGGAAGGTTCACTGAGAAAAAGAGTTCTTGGAAATGCTGCTCCCTCTGTGATGTCCATTCAGTCTTTGGGATGAAGAAGGGGATTGCTCATTTCCTCTGTGTGTGATGGCCTTACGTGCAGTCATTAAATGCACACCCACACATTCCGCTTGTTCCAGGTGTGATTTCTTGCTGGCTACTTCTGCTGTAGTATTTAATTCCCATTAAACCTTTCTGAGGTGACCTAAGCTTTCTGTGTGTCCAATTCATAGCAGTCACTTCATCGGAAGGAAGGTCTTTAAAGACTTTTTTCCTTCCTAGAAGCACTGCAGCATTTTTGCTGAAGCCACTCTAACTCTCAGGGTCGTAGTTACCTCAGGTGTTTAGAACTCACTGAGCAGTCATGCCATCATCTGGCTCTTACCTGAGTATCTGTGCTTTCCCTGATTCCCTTGGCTTCACCACATCCTTCTTCCCATCCCCAGGAGTTTTTGCTGTGCACTCAAACGCAGCTTCCTCACGGTGGGCTGCAGTATTGGATGGGAGCAGTCTGTATTTTTCAGTGAAGGAGTGTCTTTGTATTCTGCGTTTGATGTTTGTGCTCCTCAGGAGCTAAAAAGCTGGTACTGATGCTACGAGAGACTTTGGATTGAAGAATGCTATAGCATTTCATTTAAGCTGACATAGTACTACTGCACTCTGAAGAAGGTATGTATATTTCCACACTCTGAAATTTTCTTTTACTGCTTCTGGATCAGGGTGAGAATACAGTTCAGGAAGAGAGCAAGCTGTCTTTATTTGATGAGGGCAATATTTCAAATAGACAGTGCAAAGGAAACGTGCATCGTGTTAAGAGTGTCCTGCTCTGTGCTGACATGAATATCCAAGAATAGATCTAGCTTGTTTGATTAGGATCAGACCTTAATCTCCAGGCCAGCTGTTAATACATAATAGTTTGAATTATCTGAGATGATGAGGTCAGCTGTTTGCTGTGCAATCTTCCAACCTGGATGCGTGCACTTGAGTTGGAAGTGTTTGCTGCACCTCCTGTACTGGTGAGAGCTGGAGGGGTGCTGAGTGGTAGGAGGGGATGTATCAGCAGACAACTTTTCACTGCCTTCAGAAGCCACCCAAAACCACTGCCTGGAACCAGTTCTGTGTGTGCTAGCTTGCATATGCTCAGAACAGTGTGGTAGGCTGAGTACTGAATTACTGACTGGTTCTTGACCCAGCTGACAAAGAGGGAGTCCTTAAATATTGTGGGTGCTGAAATTTCTAAATCTGATTTCAGTAACGCCTGTGGTAAGTTCTTAATTAGAATCTGGTGTGCCCACTGCTCTGACTTCAGTGCATAAGCACTGTATGGTCTGTTCTGCAGCGTGGGGCTCTCTGCATTTATGTGCTCTTTTGTGTTTCGTCCATGATCCTAGTATCTTCTCTGTCACTGTTTCCATGCTGCACGTATTTTCACTCCTTGCACAGTCAATATCTCAATGTCTTAAACTGGTACAAACCAAAATAGCAGAAACTTGGAGTCTCCCCATGGTCTCCTTCTCTCCCTTGCTGCTCGGTTCTCCTTGTAGGGATTTAGAGATGAAGGCTGTCATTTATTAAAGCCATTTGGGGGTTTGTGCATGAGAAGGACGTTCCGAGTTGGGTAGCTGATGACAGCGAGTCTGGAAGGCTTCATTCCCATCACAGCAAGGCTGTTCTCCCTTCCTGCCAGGGCTGTTTGGCAAGATGGGAGAACCTGCAGAGCTGACTGCTGTGCTCTGTGGTTAATACATAAGCAAGCATTCTTCTGACAAGTGTTCTGGCTCTTCTCATAAGGGGGGGATACTTGACTTGAAATCATGTTTAGGATGTCTTTCACGCTGTCTGTTCTCCAGGAAAAGCTGGATGGAACCTCAGTGTCTTAACCCTGTTTGTAAGGTGACCTTTGCTCTGTGTCATTGGTGATGGTTGAGTGGCTGCCACTTACCACAACTGCCCTGGGTTAAGCAGAGATTGCTGTGGCAAAGTGTAAGGAATGCAAAAGATAGTTCAATGAAGCAAACACAAATTTCCCCAGAACTACGGTAAAATACCTCTTGTAGCTAATTATCTGGTTAGCTAAGATGGTAATATGTGATTCACTAAAAGGCTAAATAGATTATACAGAAATGGGAGATTGTTGTGAAAGCTGTTGATTGCTTTATAGGCTGTTAATTAGTTAACACAGTGATAACAGCTGAGAGGATCAGAAGGATTTGAGTGTCATTCTATGAATACCTGCATCTCCCAGTCTGCTTGCAAATTCTCTCATTCTTGATACGCTTCAGGGATGGGGCTGAGCCTCCTGGAGCAGGGAAAGGTAAATTACTTCAGTAATAACAAGCCTGAGGTTATCCACATTGCCCAGCCTGGCATCCTGGCAGTGGTGCTTTGACATGAGGATTTGGGGAGATGTTCTATAGAGCCACTCCGAATTGATCGGTGCTGACCCCAGGCTATGAATGCGTGAAGGATGTGGGGTCCTCAATGCAGATCCAGACTCCCAGCCTTGAAAATAGGAAGGATTGTTAAATCAGAAGGGAATTCCACCTCCCCCTTTAGGTTTTGCACATTCCAAGGTAGAGGGATGCAAGTGGGAGTGAGGGAGCCCAGCTGCCCACGTATGCAGCAGCTGGGACGGGCTGGCACAAAACAGCTGTGCTGTGGGTCCCTGTGAAAGCACACTTGTTTGTTAAAAGAAATATGAAGCTCCCAAAGTAAGCACCCTGGGAATAGGGAGAAACAAGAGTTTCTGTGTACAAAGGGCTGAACTCTGCAGGGAGTGCTCTCAATCACTGTGCAAGCCAGGAATTTCCTGGTGCAGCCCTACATGGTGTTCTTTCACCAGCTGAGCTTCAGGCAAAGGCAATGGCTGGAGGAAAACACTGCAGATGAGCCAAGGTTAATTTCTGGGAAAGGGCAGGACTTTTTCTAAACCAGTTCTCTCGTTGCTTTGTTTGGAGCTGCAGAGTTACAGAAAGGGGAAAAGACAACAGAAGAGACATCTTCCACTGTCCCATATTCTACCCATTCAGTGCTAAAAGGAGGGTAACAAGACAGAGATCTGATATTTCAGTGTAACTTGAGTTAGACAAAAGTACTGTACGTTTTCTGCCTAAAATGTAAGAAAGCTTAGTGGGATTTTTTTAGCATAAAATAACCTTTTTATTTTGTAAGATGTGAAATTAAGAAACGTTATGTCTTCAGTTAAAATCAGCCTTATTTGCTGTGTGTCTTCCTCTTGAATACTTTGGATGCTCACTCAGTTGGTTTCCAGCTACTTGCAGAGCTACTTGTCTCTTTCTAATCTTAATTTTATAAAGGCCCCAATTCTGGTTGAAGCCCATTGTAAAAATAATTGTTGAGCTTTTAGGAATGAAGCATGGAATTCTTGCTTTAAAATGTGACTTCAGATGCTCTGTAGCTCACCAACAGCCCGATGGCATTTCAGAGCATTCATTCACTTAAAATAAGTGTCCTTAAAAGGCTGTTTTAGAGGGAGAAATAGCTGTGTGTTCTCTAAATGTGATAGTCGAGGCAGCAAAAAAAAAAAAAGGTGCTGTGGGTAGAAACTAACAGCAAGAAGTGTTTGTCAGTCTTTTGCAATTTGCTATCATGTGCTGGAGCATGCAAGGAGCCCAATCAATGCGCATTCCCTATCGAAACGTTTCTACTTGCTTAAGTGGGTTAACCCACTTAGCTCTTATTTTATTATCTCATTAGCAATCCAAAAAACATGTTTTAGGGTTCCAAATCAATGCGGTTACATGGACAGCCCTTGAAATTTGCCAGAATCCCCTGGACTCCGCTAATTCTAATTGAAGTTGGCACAGATTTGAAACGCAGGCAGCGATAAGCTGTTCGAAGTCTTGGAGCACTGTGAAGAAAAATGTGAAATGCTTATTATGTGAGGTTATTGGATCACGTTTAACCATTTTAGGACAAAGATCATTTTGTTGGGGTCCTAAAAAGTGGCTCCACATGGTGATGTGCATTCCTCTGCAATTCAGCACGTATCGTTGTACGTGAACTTGGGGTGATAAGTAGCAGAACTTGGCTGCAATTCATGGAAACAAGCACTGGAGTCCTTTCAGCCTTTAGTTTTCAACTGGATGAAAATAAATGTTGTAGGTGTCGGGCTGTGCAGGCTGGTGGCTGACTTTGCAGGTAATGGTAGCCCACAGCCATCATCCACATTACTCTCCCTCCTGCCTGTAGTCATCTCCTCTGCTCCCATTGCTGTGGGCATGGCACAGACTCTCCCAGGAAACTTCTTCCCTTTGATGTTGATTTCTGCTGGCTCAGTTCTGTTACGAATGCACTGATTGTGTTTTCTGCTTCCAGAGATTTACGTTTCAACCACATCAGGGAGATACAACCTGGGGCCCTCAGGAGGCTGAAGAACCTCAACACACTGTAAGTCCCTCTCGGTGATCCTGCCGTGAGGTTATTTCTTTGTGACTGATGTTAGCACTAGCTGCCATAACGGCTTAAAGATGGCCTAGGTTTTACTTAGTTATTTCAGCCAAATTGTATGTATCCAACTAATGTGTCATGATCATCTCTGCTCTACCCTGCATTGTGTGAATTACCCTTTTGAATCAAATGTGCGATCTAGTAACTTACATTGTGGTAATTAACCCTGTCTTTTAAAAGGAATGATTCCTGATGCATGCTCTACTGCCTGAAGAAGTGTAGCTTTAGAGTAGCCCGTAAGAAGAGTTATGGCCTGGGGTCAAAATGATAGAGGGATGCATTAAGAGCTGCTTCGTTTTCACAGTGCTTCAAATGCATAAACCACATCAGCTGCTCTGCGTGATGGTACTGAAGTGAGACTGCATCCTTCCAAATGCCAGACTGTCACTGTGCTTTGCCTTAAAATAAACACTAGCACCTACCTTATTGCAGACAGGGATGAGAGCGTAAGGCAGTTCCTTTGGTTCTGCATCTCAGCCAGAGCAGGCATGCTGACACCACTGTGATGTACTGCTTTACTGACAAGTTTCTCACTCCGATCAGAGGAAGTAACAGGAGCCTTTGCTGCTTCTTGCTGCCATGAGGCTAAGGGTTTGAAGATAGATATGAGTACATCTGCATTGTGTAGCCAAGGAGCTGAATCCAAACCAGCTCCCAAATTAGAAACAGAACTGTGCTGAATGTAATTGGCCTGTCAAGGCTCAGATCTGATTATTCGAGCTGTAGCATGGCGCTAACAGCTATGAGATTGCTAGGTTTGAGCTTGAGCCTCTCTGTGAGGCGACCAGCTAGTTTAGGACTTTTGCACTGCATGGCAGACATGTTTGTATTTCCTGGCTTCAAATGTCTGTGGTTGTAAACAGCAAAAAAAAAAAAGTCCATACTTGATTTTTTCTGACTATGGGAGATTTGAACCTGCTCCAGTTGAGGTGGCAGTGCTGAAAGAAGGAATACCTGGGCAGTAAGTTCAGACAGCTGTAAGAAGCTGTAGAAAAGGTAAGACTACAGGAGTGCTCTGTCACGGAGACTTGTTTAATTGCTGTGTTTTAAAAATCGGTGCTTGCTAAAGTTTGTTTCACTGCATGCTGGGGATTGACTGGCCAAACCCTGCGGTGTGGCTGCAGGATGCCTGTGCCCCTGCTCACAGGGGAGGAGCTCAACTTGTAGACTGGTGGAAAATGTGATTTCCAGAACTCTGCTTGGCCAGAGTACAGGAACAGCCCTCATTAGTATCTCAGACAGCACTGTGTGGTACCGAATGATTTTTGGTAATGACCAAAAATAATAAGAAAGATCCAGAAAATTAATATTGATGTATTTCTCTAACTGAAGATGACCATATTTCTTACCTCATCTGAGCTCAAAATATCGAGTGGAAAAATAGGGCCAGAGTTTGGAAGGCTTTACCTTATCACAAAGTTCTTCTGAGGCATGGTGATTTTCCATCCTGCTCCTCCAGCACTGAAGCTCTCCTGATTCAAGAAAACCAGCTCTTCCAAGTGGTGTCTCTTTGCTTTCTGCCTCCACGTGCAACTGGATAGGGACCTCAAGGACAAGACTTCCATGAGCAGATGCAAAAGGAAATAGGATTGAATGTACCTTCCTCTCAACCCCCCACGACCCTAATCTCATGGTGATGGATGGTTGGGCAATAGGAAGGATGTGTTTTGTGCAGATGGTGGACAGGCTCTCATGCTTTCTCTGAATAGTGTCTTACAGCTCTTACCAGAGCTAGAATACTGGGCTAGCTGAAAAACACTGCTCTCACAAAGTATGGCATTTTAATATTTCAGTTCTGAATATCAGCTGTTTTTATAAATGAAACCTTACCATTTAGATAGCAGCTCCTGTGCTCCATTTTGTTTCCTGCTTTGGTCAGCAAATTGGGAAGATCAGTTATTCCCACACTCAGAGGTTACTGAGTTCCCCATTTGTGAGTGTTAACAGGAAGAGGCAGTCAGACCCTTTGCTCCTAATGCAAGGTTCTCTTGAGGAACTCTGGTCTGTCTAATTCCCACATCAAAACTGACAAGAGCTGAAGAATTTGCTGTTGTTTCCTACATGGTAACTTTTTGCCTCAGGATTTATATAGGTTTTCAAGTGATAAGTTTTTAAAGGTCCCAAAGAGATGTGCTGGGCAAATTTGGCCAGAATACTTGAAGCGCGTGAATTAGAGGACAGAGGAGCTCAGGTTCCATCTGTGGGAGCTCTCAGACCACAGCTGTCTGCCATGGGATTCTCAGAACTAAATGTGCCTTAACCAAAAATAAGGGTTTTGAAAGAGCCTTTTCCTGCAGCACTCTGACCTGGCAGAGGAAGGGCAGTACAGTTGGGTGCATTTTCTGTTTTGTGTCTCCATCCGGGCAGGATGGCTGTGGAATATTCAAGTTTGACAGTTTGTAAACCACCCTGATTAGGAAACCTTTGTGCCTTGCACTGGAGCAAGGAGGTGAGCTGACAGAAGAGGAGCCTGTCCTGAGTGCCCATGGGGCTTTTTAAACATCCTGGGTAAAGTTCAGACCTTCCCCTGGCTCTCTGCCTTCCTCTCCCTGATGCAGGAGGTTTGATAAATTACAGAACACTACTTTAAAATTAAAAGCAGTTTGTATATGGAGGAGCTGCAGTGATTACATGCTTCTGGCAGGGAACTCATGATGGAGCAGCACAGGTAACAAGCAGTTATCTGACATCCTGCCCTGCTGAGAGCTCACTTGTCAGCTGTCTGCAGCATTGTGTGCACTGGGTGAATTATTTGGGGCCCAAATTCTTGGAGCTGTAAGGCTTTCTCGTCCCTTCCTTCTGCTTCTTAAAGACACACAGTGGTTTGAGTTGGAAGGTACCTTTCAAGGCCCTCTGGTCCAACTCCCCTGCAGTAACAGGGACACCCACAGCTCCATCAGTGCTCAGACTACTTAGGAAGCATCACGTGAGAGCAAAAGGCGTTCTGGTGAGCTCTGCAACTCTCCTTCAGATGCTGCTTGTGAAACGCGCTGGGGGGGAGTAAGGGAGTAACTGATGGTGCTGTTTGGGATCTTCTGGTGCCTCATAGAACCGTTAAGGTTGGAAAAGAGCTCCAAGATCCCCAGCCCACCCCACTGTGCCTACTGCCCACCTCCCTCAGTGCCATAGTGCCACAGCTCTGGAACACCTCCAGGGATGGTGAACCCCCCCCACCCCCTGGGCAGCTGTGCCACTGCATCACTGCTCTTTCAAAGGAATTGTTCCTAATATCCAACCTGAGGCTCCCCTGAGAACACAAATCCCTGTGAGCAGCCCGCGTGTCAGAGCTGCTGAATCTTGGAATAAAAGTTTCATTCTCAAATATGGGAAATGGCTATTCCAGATCATTCTGTCAACAAGGGAGAATGCATGGCTCAGTGTTAAGCTAGCTTTTTCTCCCCCTTTAAAAATACAGTACACGATGATTTCTATTAATGGTGGGAGGAAAAAAGTAGCTGTTGTGTCACGATGACTGCAGCATGTGGTTTGTCAAATGAAAAGAGGAAAGAGTAGATGTTCTGAGCCTGAATTCTGTACTGTCACATCATTTAACACATGCTTCAAAATAGAAAAATGACTCACTGAATGCAACTTAAGCCTGTGCTTGGCAACCTGGAGACAGGGTGGGGAAGGGAGAGGGAGGGACAGACAGAACATAGAACCTAAAGGAAACTCAATGTGAAATGTTCCCGTAGTGAATACAGGCCAGATCGCATGGTGCTTGTGTATCACAAGCCTCCCAGAAGAATTTTCAGGAATAAAACCTGCATGACTGAGTACATCTATTCATTCTGAACCAAATTCACCAGCTGTCATGGAGGGGAATGCACATCATTTGGCTGTCTTGGTAAGCTCCAGGAAATGTACTTCTGATACCTTTGATTTAGCTTATTTTGCTGCAGGGTACGCTTCAGACATGCATCTATAATGATCTTTCCAGCTTCTGTCTGCCAGAGCATTTATTCCCAGCAGATCTGGTTAGTAGCAGGACTTTGCTTTCAATTCTCCGTAACGTTACCAGGAATTTGGGCGTTTTGCTATGATTGCAGCTGGGATCAATATCCAGCTCATGCAAATCATGGCCAGGATTTTGCACGCTTCTTTGCCTGAGTGAAGTGCACAGGAGTCCAGGAACAGACAGCTGTCCACGGGCCATCTGAAGTCTTCCTGGGTTCCAGATGTGCTGTCTTGTCCATGGATTTCCCTGGAAGCAGCTCTTTGGAATATATGCAGCGTGATAGCCTTCATAAATTATCTCAGTTTTGAGTGTATTCCAGGACATATCCTTCTACTACAATAGGGAGTCCTGAGACAGGAAGCAGAGATTGCTTCTTCCATACACTCGTTAACCTTTAATCAGGCAGTGAATAATTCTTTTGAGTATCAGACGATGAGATAAGAGGTCGGCATAGCGTGTGCTATTTGAACTCCCAGAGTTGCTCTCATTTGGCTCAGATCACTGTCCTGAGTGATCAGGACAACAAAAGGGGTTTGATCAATGTTTTTCAACAGCACCAAAATTCAATGGGCCAATGTGTTGCAATTAAATCTATAGCTTTCAATCCAGGTCTAAGCACTCTGTGTTAAAAGGTCGGCCAAGGAGCGCAGGCTGTGGTGGACAATGGGATAACCAAGGCTGTCAGTGTGTCTGTCCACAGGGTCTGGTGCTGGCAGTCCTCCTGTTCCCTGTGAAATGAGTGTTGGTTGTATGGTAGGAGACAGGTGGGAATGACATTGGAGCTGGCACCTGCTTATCAGCCCATCCAGCATCCTCACAAGTGTGGCCAAGGATCAGATAGCAGGGAACAAGCTGCCTTCTTTCTTGTCTGGCTGCAGATGAAAGCATGCTGAGAGAGCAAGGGAAGGAGCGTGTGCAGTTGGTGCCTGTGTTGTCTTTGTCCCATAGGTAAATAGACAAAAGCTCTCTCCTGTGCTGCTCTCGAGCAATTATTTCCAATCCTTGGGTGTTCAATTAACAAATAAACCTTTGGGTTGTTTTTCAGGGACTGTATTTCCACACAGCATATTTGGCTGTCAAAGCATGATAGCATGTTCCAAGAGCTTGACATCATTTTTGCATCCTTATGAGCAAAATTGGGTCATGTAGCCTCAACCATGTGTACAGAGCCATTGCTTCCAGCTGTGCAGAAACTTTCCAGCATGTCTCTGCCTTAACCTCTTCTGGTTGCTTATCCACAATGCTGACTATGTGCAGTTTGGCAGTGGCACCCAGGTTTGGGATGGCTATATAACTCATTGAGAGACCACCGAGAGGTTTTCTTTCAAAACCTTACTGCTTTGACTTCCAAACGATTAGGGGGGGCTTACACTCAAGTATCACATGTGCTTTTGGGACCTCTCATGCAACTCCCCACCTGAAAACAAGCTGGTGGAGGGTTGGTGTGGCTCGAGTGGCTGAAGGCAACTTGTGAAGCTGCCATAACACATTTGTGCTTCTGAGATTTTGCATCCCTGGGGCATCTGATTGTATTTTCTTTACCAACGTGCTTTTTTCTGTTTCTCCTCACTCCGTTTCTTCTCTCCTCCCTTTACCTATACAAACCCATGCTCCCAGGAAGGAGCCTTTGCTCGTAGTACCAGAGGCTGTCTGATGTGCTTTCTACCCTCATTTCTCCATCAAATAAGAGCAAAAAATTGGGCTTTCCTGCTGGGAAATGACAGAGCTGTCTTCTCTTGTGCTGTCAGGTGCCAAATTGCTTCTGAGGGGCATGTTTATCCCCAAAAAGGGAAGAGAATCAACTTGGAGAGTAAGCTCCATGAACAGTCTGAACCGTTCTTACATTGAATTTAACTTGATATTGTAAGGTCTGGCAGCTTACAGAGCGAATAGCAGCTTTTCCTTCAATACAGAAAAACAAATCTTTGCAATATGAAGTTGCAACTCTCCTTTTTGTCCACATCTCCAGTTAGCAACTTCAAAACTAAGGTGAAGCCCTTACTCTGAGCCATCAGGCTATGACACCCACCAGTGGCCACAGTAAGTTTTGCTGGATCTGATACTATGGGGAAAGACCCAAAGGAATGGTGCAGTTAGGCAGCCTCGGTGTACAGTTAAATCCTGCCCATTAAAGAGCTATTTTTAAGTGATCTATTGAGGTTTTTGTGGTGTTTGGCTTGGCAGTGGTTGCATAAAGAGTTTCTGTAGCGTTCAGCTGTGTGGTCACCGCCGCTGTGGTGGTTACAAGGGTGAATTGCCTTTCTGGTGGCTGGCATTCATTTGCATCCACAGTCATGGCAACTGCACATAAAAACCAGAGATGCCTGCCAACACGATGCTGTTCATAGATCTTGTATTAAAATCTGGCACAAGGCTCTCTAGATTGAAAGAGGCTGTTTGTGCATAGCAGCAGATACAGGGTCTGTAGTATTTATTTATTTTTCATATGTACCAATTTGTATACGAAAGGGATTTAAACCAATGCCTTTCCATTTAACAACTCCTATAACCCGTGTGGTGGCACTCTGAACTGCTTTCGTACAGTTAAAACCTGGCTCTCCTCACACAACCGTGCATTCCAAAAACCTGTGCAGTTGTACAGAAACAGCAGCAACGATTGAATTTGGACCTCCCCTCTGCTTCCAGCTGTCTGTCTCCCTTCCCCTCATCCTTTTCCTAGTCTAAATTGGGACTTCTGGGTGAAGACCACCGTGGTGAAAGGTAGGGAAACACCTTTGAGTGTTGTATATATTAGAAGCACATGGCGACTCTGGGCAAGAGATGTTTTTGAGTTATCCACTGTGAACATCCCAGCTTTGGCCTAATAACCCTTTTAAATCTTAAGTTCTATGCATTAAGGATTTCTGTGGCCAGCCAGCAATACAAATGCTGTGATTTCACCAGCTATATTTTTGTTTCTTGCTCTGAACAGGCTGCTGAACAATAATCAGATAAAGCATATTGTGAGAAGATCCTTTGAAGATCTGGAGAACCTGAAGTACCTGTGAGTGGATAGCTCAGTAATCTCTTCTTTGAAATTTAAAAGCTCACTTCTAAAGTTCTTTCTCGAGTGAAGGGTGTGCTTTGTGCACTCAGAATTTCTGGATGTCAATGTTGTAACTGTAAAATATTGCCCTTGAATTCAGTCAGAAAGCTCTGCTTTGGATTAAGGTTCATAGCTGTTTCCTGTGTCTTTTCAAATACGGCTGCTGTGTGGTTATTCTGATGCATTTCTCTCTCTCCTTTTCAAAGCTACCTTTATAAAAATGAAATTCAGAGCATCCAGCAACATGCCTTCCATGGGCTGCACTCCCTGGAGCAGCTGTAAGTATACATGATGTGTGTCAGAGCTGAGCTGTCGGCTCATCTAACCCGAATTCTGCACTTCCAGTTGTGGACTTAGCAGACAGTGGGATGTCCAGCTTTGTTGTCCAGCTTTGCAGCATTGCACTGGCTTCATGTGCATACAGCTGGTCCCAATATTGATCTGAGGACTATTCCTATGACATCCTATATGTTCTCTCCCAGCCCCACACCGCTGGAGCATAGAATAGCTCAGCTGTGCTTCCGAATACTTTTGCATCCACAGGCCTTCCAATGGGAGGGAAATACAGACATGCTTGGTGGCTCAAAATAGAGTGCAGCTGCCCCCCTGTGTTTGCTGTGACTCCTGGAGCACAGTGTAGGGTCTTAGGGTCTGGCTGATCTCTTCAATTGAGAGCAGTATAGTGTTTCTTTTTTGTTGGAAGCAAATGGATGAAATGCAAGCTGTGAGCTGGGGTTGGAGTGTTTAAGAAAGCAGCCAGGAAGGTGATGCCTGCATGCATTAAAACATCTGGAAATTCCAATGGGGAGAAGATGATGAAGACAAAGAAGCTAAGTGATGGCCTTCCCTCCAAGCTGTGTAGTACTCCGTGATGAAAGGAGCCTCGTGTGTTCTGCTGGCAGCTGGAGCCTGTCACAGTGAGGTTCCTGCTCTCCTTCTGCTTATTGCAAATCTGAGTCATTTGTTCTAAGTAGTTTTGTTTTTAGACTGTTAGTGCTCCATGCTCAAGGTGAGATGGAAGGACTGAGCTCTGACACTCTTCTTGCATCTTACTAAACTGGGGTTTGATTTTTCATGTAGATGTCATGATATGTTACGTGCATGTAGGTAAATGTGTGTGCCAGAAAGAATGTAAGCATGGGTGTTTCAAGTGCAGGCATTATTTGCATCATTGGAGAACAATGTCAGCAAAGGTGAAACCACTAATTCCTGGATTGTCCCAGATGACACTTTGTAGGGCTCGAATGTGACTAGCAATTTTGCTACAAAAGGAGTAGAATTCAGCTTGTTTTCCAGGCTGACAGCAAAAGTGGAGGGAGCATAGCAGGATGTTCCAGCAATCTCAACACTAACTGTGCTCCCATCCTAGTGTATGGGATGGGTTTATGGGTTTCCTTCATCCAGCTCTCCAGTGATGCCTTGGAGAAGACTTAGGAAGCGGATCCTGGCTGGGCTGTGCTTGCAGAGATGGTGCTGGCCATAGTGATGCTTTAACAATGAGCGTTCCAGACTTGATGTCATGAAAAAAACAACAAAACCACAAAACCAACAAACAACCCTCTGAAAGGCCCATCTGTTTTCAATCTCTCAGGCAGGCATGGTTCCAGAAGAATTAGCTTTGCTCAAATCCTACCCCATTTTCCTGTACCCCACAGGCCAGCTTTTCAAGGAGAAGTATAACCCAGTTGATAGACAGTGTCAGGTGTTTTCCTCAAGGTCCAAAGCAATGACAGCAGATATCTCAAACTTCCTACAGCACATTTCCCTCTCCCCACGCTTGCTCCCCACCACAGGATCTGAGTCAGTGCACCTTGGTTCGTGCTCTGATAGCAAACCATGCATTGTCACCCCTTCCATTACAGATCAAACAGCCATGCAGAGGCTTAGGCAATTATTTCTTAATGCGGTCAGCTACAATAGCAGAACGAGTATTTGTAGATCCATGATTAATCAGTTTCCACTGTGAAATTTATGCCTGTGTAAAATCAGGGGGGAGAGTTTTGGCAATGTTCAGAGTGCACTGAAATGCCTCTAAGGGTCAGGAACATTTCAGTTATGTTAGTCATGTCACAGCAGATGGGAAGAGGGAATCTCGGCTCTCTTGGTGTGTTGTTGCAGACCTCAGGTTTCCTTCCCTGATGGCAGAAGGTGACGTGGGACAGTGCAAGAGATCTCCTACACCTGTGGGCAGCAACTCGCTTGGGATTTTAGTGGGACTAGCAATACTAACCTTCATTAACAAGAGCAGGGCTGTTTACATTGATGTTCCGTTTAGATCATGGTGTTCCAGCTGACTGCATCTCTGTTTTTGGAGAATGTGTTTTCTGTCTGCAGAAGCTGCATAGCCTGATGGCAGCAGGTTCTCTTGATGTTTCTGTTCTCACTGTGTGGACTCGCTTGTTGGGAACTCCTGTTAGCATTGCAGAGAAATGTGTGCTGGAAAAGACCTCTGGGTGTCCCCAGTCTGACTTCCAGCTTCAAGCAGGACCAATTTCGGTTTTATCAGGTTTTTCAGGGCCTTTTACTACAAATGAATTGTTAGCAAACTCATGACCCTCTCAGAAAGGCTGACAAGTGTTTTATACCATGGCAATGTATTCCACCCCAAGGGGAGGCAGAGGCATGAGGGCAAGGTGTGCAACGTAGCAGTTACGGTGGCTGGATGGGGAGCTGCAGCTGCAGGCTGCCTGTGGGAGCAGCTTTGTCCTCACACCTAACAATGCAACAGGTTCATGGTGATGGTGGTGGCTTTAGGTTTAGAAGAAGGGCAAATCTGACCTGCTCAGTATTTGCTGGAGTTTGTAAAGAGTGGGAGTAAATCATTTGGTATAGGGGAAATACAGTGCTGGTTATTTTTATGGGAAAGTTAGAGACAGTGAAGAAAAGGTTGGCTTCTGAACAGCATCTGCCCTGAGATGTGTGGTGACTGATTAGAGGATGTTGGTGCAGCGATTTGGAAAGATCTTCTGTCTTTCAAATTGAGATCTGTAACCTTGTCCTTTGCGGTTTTCTGTGGCAGCTACCTGCACTTCAACAGCCTGGAAACCCTGGAGCCAGAGACATTCAGTGACCTGCCCAAACTTGAAAGGCTGTAAGTAAAGATGTGACCTTTCATGTGAGCAAGGGGAGGGAAGAGGAAATAAACCTTTGTTTTCTGTATTTTGAAGCGAAATGTGGTGACCTCCAAAATGGAGAGAAATGGAAAAAGAATCCTTAAAGATGCAGATTTTATGCACTTGCAAAGTAGGATGGTTAATGAGATTGGGAAGAGTTTTCTCATCTTATGGTATGTTTCTATTTCAGTAGGGGTAAATCTGTAGAAAGTCAATTTTATTCCAGCTGTAAGGTCAGCATTAATCACTGCTGGGCAGTGTGGACAAAGTCACAAGGAAGTCTAATAAGAAAAACATGCATCCTACTTGGAAGCAGTGAGGAGTCAAGTTGTTGTGTCTCTAGTGCTGCTTGTAGTGACTGTATAGCCATCAGGAAAGGGACACACACACAGATTCCTGCTCCGTAGTGAAACCAACAGACACTTCTTTACTGCATGCAGACATGCCTTGCGTCTGTGCGTGGGGGGAAAACAAAACTGGGAGATCCAAACGCCCTCAGGATAAGTCAGATGTGGATCAGTCTGCCACGGCTGATCTCAGCCTCTGTGTTTGATCCAACAGAAATTCTGGATTTAAATTTCAGAGGAAGGTTTGTCAGCATCCAAGTTGGGCAGCTAGACTGTATGTGCCTGTACACGTGTGTGTGCAGACAGCTGTGTGCATGCACACTGCTTTTGTATTTCTTTTCGGTTCCACCATCTACCACAATGAATTCTTACCTTTTGTAGATGGTCTCTTGTGAATATTGGATGTAATGAATAACTCAATTTTCTCCTTTAAGGAGGGTTAGTTGTTCCATCCTGGTTGCCACTGGTGTGTTTCAGAGCAATCAGTGGTTGTTGTTTTGTTTTTTTTTTTAACTGGAGAGTTTGAACTGGATCTGCTCATGGAGTTGGCTTAGTAACACTGAGTCTGGGGGTTGTCTGCTCTTGCTGGAGCCTTGCTCCAGTGGCTGCCCCATACAGCTTCCATGTCTTGTGCAGAGGGGAGAAGAAGGTCTCTTTTAAACTAGTGCTGACCCAGGTGCAGAAATCACAGGGTGGGTCTGATCCACAGGGATTTTGTGCCCTTTCTCCTCCCTTTGCAGAGCACGAAGCAGATTAACTTGAGGGTTCCAGTTTAAATCCGTGACATCACGCCTTGAGTCACCATTTCCAGTACACACCCACTCTCTGCTTTGGTGTGCTGCCCTGCACTCACAGACAAACTAAATCTCTGTAGCTCATGGAAGCAAACACAGTGAATGTAAAAAGTGAGCTCCATCTTGGTGAGCAGCCTTTGTGCTTAAGCTGAGTTTTGACCCGGGATGTTACCATCTGCAATGCAAATAATGAATAATGTTTTGGCATGGGTTCTTCCATTGCAGATTCTTGCACAACAACAAAATTTCCAGGATTCATCCAGGGACATTCTCTCAACTGGAATCCCTCAAACGACTGTAAGTGAAAAACATTGCCTGCAAAGAGCATTTGTTTATCTTTGATCAGATGGCCAGGACCTGAGGAAAAATGTGCCTGGTTGGCAAAGCTTTCAGTTGTTGCACTTCTAAGTCCACTGTTAAGTTTATAAAACAGTTTTGGTTGGATGCAAGAGCTGATTTAACCAGTTAGTAGTTACTTCACACTGGTGTCTAATTAAAAGCTAGCTCTAATCTTCTTACAGCTCGCTAATGCCCCAGGAATGAGTATTCCTGAAAAGTCATCCCAACCCTCTGCAGCCCTACGTGCTCTGATCCCATAAAACATCCTGCAGAAACGTGGGATGTCCAGGCCGCACGTGGGATCTCAGTCATGTTTTCAGATTTGTCTTAACATGGAAGGAAAAAAAACGTGCTCAGAGGAGTGCCACAGGTCTTGGTTCTCATCCCGGGAGGAAAAGCCCTGCTGTGTTGTTCCCATGTAACCTGACAGTCTCTTAATCTTGCATTTTGATTGCTTATAACCCTTAGTACTTAGATTTGTTTGTCTTTTATGATCTGTTCTAAGATGCTTTTCTTTGGGAGGGGGGATAAAGCAACAAGAAACACAAAGAATGTTGGTGTTTTACCATGATTTTAAACTTCAAGAAAATAATGTGCTTCTCACTGTCTCACCACAGCCCTCTGTGATTTCTGCAGGCAGGTAGAATGCTTCATTTTTTGAACAGAGAACAGCTCATGAAACGTTGTCTGCACATGTCAGAGAAAAAGATGTAGTGTCTATAAAAAGCCCTGTCGTGGCCTCGTGTGAAATCTCACTTTCTCAGATGTTTGTCCATTAAAACATTAGGCCTTTCCCTCACGTATTTATATGGCTAAGGCCCATCTACTATAAAACTGTCTGGGGAAGGAGACATAAGCTAATCCCCCAGCAGCCTCCTTATCCTCGCACGTAGCCCTGCACGTCGTAATGAGGTCAGTGGGAGGAAAGGCGTGGGTGCAGCTGGAGGTCACCAGTGCTCCCATTCGACATGTGCTGCAGCAATAAAAGTCCTTACAGCGGTGCAGAAATGCTACAACCTCTAGGATCAGATTGATTCCATGCACACTGAAATCATGGAGGTGTTGTTGCTGATTTCGGTGTGCTCTGGTAATGGCTTAAACAGGGGGATGCTGTTATTCCCATGTGTTACTCAGATGCATTGCGTCTTGCAGGCTGTCTGGTTGGTGAAAAAAGGGTGACCTTATAATGCATGTTGTGCTTTGTGCTCCTGCAAACGAGCTGCAGGATTGGATTTTAGCACTTGGGCAGGTAGATGTGCAACGCTATGCATAATTGGGTTTAATAGAACGGTTTTCATTTGTAACTGGGATAGCTGACAGACGAAAGATTGTCAGCAAAATCACTGACTTGGTTGAGCACCCTATCTAAATGTTGTGGGAATGAACTATCTCAGATTCTGCTTTGGGATACGATCAAATGCCAGGCAGAGCAGGCAATTGGGAAGCTGGGGGCTGACATGCCTTCCCCTGCTCTTGCAGACGACTGGATTCCAATGCACTGCTCTGTGACTGTGACCTGCTGTGGCTGGCTGAGCTGCTGCAGAAATACGCCGAGCTGGGCAGCATCCAGACTGCAGCCACCTGCGAGGCCCCGCGAGAGCTGCACGGTCGCTCCATCGTCACCCTGACTGCCCAGGAGTTCAACTGTGGTGAGTGGGATGCAAAAACCTGCATGGCCTCAGGGCTGGGCTCTGGGCTTGGAACTGCTTTGTCCATCTGGGAGTGCTGGTGGGCAGTAGGCTGACCACTGAGCCAGCAGTGTGCTCAGGTGGCCGAGAAAGCCAATGGTATCCTGGCTTGTATCAGAAACAAGTGCAGCCCTGCATAGAGTTGAATTGGCACAAATGGGCTCATGATCTCTAGCACTTGGGAAGAACAGAAAAGGTCTGGAGACAGCAGCTGGAACAGACCTGCTGCTATGGACTGTGCTGCACCATGAGCCATTGCTGCCACTATTGGAAATTTGTCCTGCTTTAGGCATGGGCGCACAGTGGGATGCCTGTCAAATCAGCCAGAGCACCTGTGGTGGGAACATTTTGCTGGCATTGGGCTATTATGCTGGTCTTGTGCCAGCTGGGGAAGACAAATGATGTATAATGCAGCATAAAGCCCTAACAATGCACAGAGCTGATATCTGAGTCAGGATGGAGCTTGCTGGCATGAAGCTGACCCATCACTTCTTAGCAGATGTCAGCCAGCAGTGCAGGTTTGCACTGGGTCAGCATTTTGTGTCACAGTGCTTTTGGTTCCCCATCAGCATCCTGGAGGTAGGTCACCAACTTGCAGGCTGAAGAACAAGGGCACAGGCCTTTCACTGAGCAAGGTGGCAGGTTCTCTCTTAATCTTATGAATAATCCAGCTGTTTTCACTGATCAGCATAGAGATTATTACATGAGTAAGTATTCTGCTGAAATGAGATCAAGTGCTTTAGACAACGTGCCTAAATTCCTTCCTATTTTAGCACATCCCTTGAATGTGTTTGGCTTGCTCAGTGCAGGCGTACATCTTAAAATGAAGCACGTAGTGAAAACCTCAGTTGAATAGGGTTGGCTCTATTCAGGGACATAATGAATGAAATTCTGTCAAAAGGGAAGCAGTGTGATTTGCAGAGAGCTGGCACTGTTCGGATGGAGCCAGCAGTCACTGAGAGCTGTGGGCTGCCAAGGGCACGAAAACGACCCGTGTGAGGATGCCACCAACTCTTTGCTTGTTCTGGGGAGCCAGGGATCAACTCTTGATGAAGCAGCATATAGGGAGTTTTTGTGCCCTGTGTACCTGGGCAGAACAGGAGGCAGCCAATGGCACTCAGAATGGCCACAGCAATCCTCAATGTTACTTGGGCTTGGGGAGCTGTTCCACTGCTGGCATTGTTTTGCTGATGCTGGTAAGGAGTGTTGGGCTGGGTGCTGGTGTGCTCTGCCAGGGCCTGGTTGCACTGGAGGTGGTTTTGTGCTATTGGGTTGTGTGAAAATGTTCTTTTGCAGAAAGGCCTCGCATCACCTCAGAGCCCCACGACGTCGATGTCCTCTTGGGAAACACGGTTTATTTCACATGCAGGGCAGAAGGCAACCCAAAGCCTGCCATTATTTGGCTCCACAACAAGTAAGTGTCATACAATGAGCCGTGGGGTAGCAAAGGTTCCTACCAAGCCCTGAACTTTTCAGTGACTCCTGCAATTACAAAGGCTGTTTCATGCAGTGTTAAAGATACAGGAACAGGAATCCATTCCATGGGTTGCTTTTACCTTCTTTTTAATGGTATTCTCTGATGACCGTGTAATCCAAGTTATCTGTATTTAAAATGTTTCATGTGTGTTGCAGTGCATTCCAAGAGTTTATAGCTCTCCTGCAAACATGCTCTGCAGGCTGAAAGCAATTGTCTTCTGATTAAAACAAAAAACAACAAAGTGTTTCACGTTGCTCTCAGCCGCCATATTTGCCATTTTTTAACTGCTGAAATGCTTCTTGTATCTGGATTTTTTTCTCACTGAAGGACCAGTGTGCTGGGTGTGTGCTTTTCTATTGAGGGGAAAATTACTGTGCTCCACTGAAAGACAGACCTTGCAAAGCAGTGTATAGATGAATGTTCTATACAGCAATGCTGAAAAAGAGTATGCCTATGCTAGATGCCAAATTTTCTGAGCAGTGCTACACAATAGAATATTCGGTGCTCAAGCAGTTTCCCACTGAGGAAGTAAAGTTCCTGAGCTGCTTTACGAGCTCCTTGTCTGAGGGAGTTCTGAATAGGGGCTGGTTATTAATAAAAATGATCAATGTGTGCTCCTTCAGTTAACTCCCCACTAAGCAAAGTTTCAGCACAGAGCAAAAGTTTACGTCTGAGTTAAGTCCCCTTGGAAGGAAGATTTTGCTGGGGAAATGCTGGCAGGCTCCCAGAAATAGCATTGTAAGAGGGATAATGATAATAAATGTTCAGCAAATGAGGTACGACTGCAGTGAAGAGACATCAGAGGAATTAAATAAATGCCCAGCAAGCATGTTAGTTTGCATAGTGGATTCGGCCTTTGTCCTGGTGGGAGTGAGGTCCCCTCTCCCTTCTCAATCATTAGCAGCCATCCAGGTCTCCTGCATGCTGGGATAAATGGGGTGCTGCAGTGAGACCTGCAGCTGCGGGCTGAGCTCTGGAGACTGGAGCCATTGCAGAAAGAGGGAAGATGCTTCACAGCTCTTACATCCCAGACTGGAATCCAGGCTGCAGTGGGGTCCCGTGGTGCCTTTCTCAGAGGCTTTTGTCTCCTCTAAGGCTCTTGGGCCCACTCAAATAGAAATGGCTGCACACAATAACAATATGCATTTGTTATTATATTTACATTTAGTAAATAATAGGAGCAAGCTTTCTGAGCTCAGATGCATGGCAGTAGCAATGATGCTATTGCAAGGGAACAGTATGCTCTCCTGATGGACTGTAAATGTCGCATGTAGTCAGCAGTGAGAGAGAAAATAGCTCATCCTGTCCAAGGAGTAAATCAGAGCTGGAGCTGGAGTTCAGTGCTCTAAATCATAACCTTTGCTATAAATGTCACGAAGTCTCAAAGCAGTGTCAAGGAACGCCAATTTAATCTAATTCACGCGAAGCCCCCTGGCAGCTTGTGGGAAGAACACTTTGGCTTTCCCTCTTCCGACTTTGCCTGTCTGTGGCTGTTTTTCAGTAACGAGATTGACATGAAAGATGACAATCGCTTGAACCTGCTGCAAGATGGCACCCTGATGATCCAGAATACCAAGGAGTCAGACAAAGGTGTCTACCAGTGCATGGCCAAGAACATCGCTGGGGAGGTCAAGACCCAAGAAGTCGTCCTGCGCTATTTTGGCACGCCATGTAATTGAACCTTGGGTACCCCTTGATGGCTTGGGAGTGTGGTTGGGGTTAGAAGTGGAGCTAATCTCTAAATCCTTACTTTATATGTGCCAAGTAGTTCTTGGTGTGCTGGGAAATAGAGTGGCTAATAGTATAATGCCATTTCTGGGGTGGTTCGTTCATGGGAGTTGGGAATTGAGAGGTTGGAGATTAGAGGTGATTTGGGAGTAGAGAGGAAATTTAGAGGCTGTGAAGAATTCTACAAAGTGATGGGGACACAGGAGTGGGGAAATGTCAGCAGCAGGGTATAGGGAGGTTGTGTGAAAGAAGTGGGGCTGGGGGCAATGCTGAGGATTTGGAGGTCAGGGAGGAGCTAGATGGATGCTAGCTGGGCTGCATGGAGAGTCTGAGCAATTTCTGTCCATAAGCAAGCAAGCAGCAGGGCTCCTGGTTTCTGAAGCACTCATTTCCTTCCAGCCAAGCCCACTTTTGTGATCCAGCCGCAGAACACTGAAGTGCTGGTTGGGGAAAGCGTCACCTTGGAGTGTGGGGTCTCTGGGCATCCCCACCCTCGCGTCAGCTGGACACTTGGCACAGGCTCTCCTTTACCGCAGGATCCCCGCTTCACTATCACCAGCTCTGGAGGGCTCTTCATCCAGAACGTCACCTTCTCGGACCAGGGACAGTACAACTGCAATGCCAGCAATACTGAGGGATCCATCCGGGCGACGGCGAGGATCATAGTGCAAGGTGGGGAGCCCCAGGCTGGTGCAGTTTCTGGGATGAAGTGCTCAGTGTGTGTTTAATCCCTGTGCATCAGGACTAGTTAATTTTTCATGCTGCCTCTGAGAATTAATCTGAGCTGTGCTGTGATTTGGTTTTTGTTTTTTTTTTTTTATGCCTGCTGCTCAGTTACTACTTTCCCTTCCAGATTCTCCCAGGTTCCTCCTTGTCCCCACTGATCAGACAGTAACCGAGGGACAAAGTGTGGATTTTCCCTGCTCTGCTGAGGGTCACCCCCCACCTGTGATTGCCTGGACAAGAGCAGGTATGGCCTCACTTGACTTGGGTTTTCTCTCTTTGCCACCATCCACAGGATATGGGAGAGAAGAGCTGTGTCGTAGATCACCAAGGATAATGTTAAGCACTGAGAAAGGCTGCCCAGAAAAGCTGTGGATGCCCCATCCCTGGAGGTGTTCAAGGCCAGGTTGGATAGGGCCCTGGGCAGCCTGACCTAATGGGGGTCAATCTGCCCACGGCAAGGGGTTGGAGCTAGATGGTCTGTAAGGTCCTTTCCAACCGAAGCCATTCTGTGAGAACGTATTCTCTTAGGTCATCATGTTGAAAGGAAGGAGTGTGCCATTTTTCATCAGCATGAAACTTAGAAAAATCCTTGAACATCCTCCTGCTGAGGCTTCTACCTCCTTTGGAAGGGCAGGGTCTGGACACCACCATCACCCAGCTCTCTGTCATTGCCGTTGCTTTGCTTCTCTTGACAAGCACATAGCAGGAGAATGCTGGTCACTGCTGACACAGCTCTGAGCTTCCTTCTAGCTTAGGAAAAAGCACTTTGGGCCGACAGGTGGTGGTGAGCTTTTGAAGTCTCAGATGATTGTTAACGCTGTCTCCACCAGACTGATCCCATCTAGCACTTTCTGGGATAGAAGCCAATAATGCTTGGCCCAGAGGCCCTCCAACTTTTCCTTATGCTTCACAAGCCATAATATTAATGGTTTAGTGCCGTGGAGGATTCATGGCTATTGTATTCCAGCTTCCACAGCAATAGCCCTGACACGGGGTTAAGAAGGACCAGCTGAGATTCTCTACCACACTTTCTATCTCCTTCAACCCAGATCTCTGGTAGAGATGTGAAAAGGCCTCAGTGACAAGAAGTAAGATTAAGAAGGCAGTTTTGTAACCAGATTTGTAAGGTCATTTGGCAATGCAGCAATTAACCAAGCTTTGTAGCACCTTCATGTGTTACAGCCAGGACAAGAGGACAAGATAGGGTGGAGCAGAACTCATCCTCAGAGTCACTTCTGGCAGTGTAGGGAGGGTTCAGAGTCCTTGTGATATTTGATATTAATAAAGCCTTTATCTGGAAGAAGGTGAATATTTAAAGAAAAAAAGTCACCTAAGTTCTGACATTTTTGAGGAAGTTAGTAAAATATCTATTTTGAATTCAAGTAGAGGAAATATTGGAACAGTGCAGTTTCTAAACTGAAGTCAGAATGCTGAATTAAGAAAGAGACAAATCCGTTTCCATGTATTTGATTAACCCACATGGTTTGGTTAATTGAACACAGAGTTGCTATCCATCAGGTGTCAGGGAGCCTGCAGTTTTCACTAAGTAAAGGCTTACGAGGGAATTAAAAACATACCATCTCCTTCCCATTGCTTAGACAAGACAACTCCATCATCGTCCTGGGTGTGGGAAGAGCAGCATCTGTCCTGTTCCCCTCTTAGCAAGATGAAGGCTGTATTTCATGGTGGCTGATGGCACGTTGGGGACGACACGGAATGTTGAACTTGTAGATACACCAGTGATGGGAGGAGAAAGCTGAGAAGCGGCGAACTAATTGAGGTGTTTGTTGGAGCAGGGGGACCGCTGCCAAGCGACCGAAGGCACAGCATCCTCTCCACAGGGACCCTGCGAGTGATGAGGGTGGCCCTGCATGACCAAGGGCAGTACGAGTGCCACGCCATCAGTGCCATCGGTGTGAGGACCCTGCCCGTGCAGCTGGCCGTGACCCCGCGGGGTAAGCTGGGGAGGGGGGAAGCTCAGGCTGACAAATGGCTCTCGTGAAGTGGATGTCGTGGTGAATAAGGCGATCGGGGAAGTGTGGGATGGGATTTTGCTTTTGCCAGGCTGCAGAATTGAGGCCACCAGAGCTCCGTCAGTGGGTGGGAAACTTGAAGGAAGTTTGCAGAGTGCCAAGATTTGTGAGTTGGAAGGAGCTGCTTTGGTTTTCCTTCCTTGGAAATTTATTGAGCTGTCACGAAAGAGCATAACCGTGGGAATGAAATCATCTGGGGAGGGCAGTGATTGGAGGAAGGGCTTGTATGCACCCCACGGGCGCCGGGCAGAGCTCTGTGACCAAGGAGTGGCCTTGTACTCTAACACCCATCAGATGAGCTCTGTTAGCCAACCAGTTTGGGTGAGACGTGGGGCCCTTCATTGTGTTTGGAGCTTTAAATAAGGAAGCGATTTTGGGAAAGGAAAGGAAACCAAAGGTTTCTGTTGGAAAATTTACAAGTTGTGTTAATTGAATTCTTAGTAATATTTATTTATTTAATTTGGGCCTTCCTATGGAACAAGTTGTGAGATTCCTTTTTTATTTTTTATTTTTTGTATTGAAAAATTCTAAAGAAAAACACCTGGTTCCCCCTCACCAAGGCATAACTCTGGCTCCAGAGGCATTTATCTTAAACGTTAGCTTACGAGGTCATAGGTTCAACCTAAATTTAGGTGTTCTTGAATATTAAGCCTTTGTAAAAACACAAGTCACACAGGAATGTGTTTTGATTTTCTTTTTTATTCCCATATAAATAATCTTTCTACATGAGCAAACGTTCCTGCTCTTTCACAGACTTGACAGAATTTTACTAATGGTAGGCTGGGTGGAAGGAAACTAGAAACATGAAATTAGTTATGCTTAATGAAAAGGGCTCACAGACTATTTTAAAAGCAGAAAGATCAATAGAATGACTTGATGTGACCTAACACTTGCCAGGTGGCTTCATCTGGTAACTCCTGAATCAATTCATAATCATCACTTCAGCTACTACACCTCTCCTATGCAGAAAGGTTGAGGGAACTGGGCTTGTTTAGCTTGGAAAAGAGAAGGCTCTGGGGAGACCTCATTGTCGCCTTCCAATACTTGAGGGGAGCTTATAAGCAGGAGGGGGAATGGCTGTTTATGGGGGTGGATAGTGATAGGATAAGGGGAATGGTTTTAAACTGAGACAGGGAAGGTTTAGGTTGGATATTAGGAGGAAGTTTCTCACTCACAGGGTGGTGAGGCACTGGAACAGGTTGCCCAAGGAGGCTGTGGATGCCCCATCCCTGGAGGCATTCAAGGCCAGGCTGGATGTGGCTCTGGGCAGCCTGGGCTGGTGGTTGGCGACCCTGCACACAGCAGGGGGTTGGAACCAGATGATCACTGGGGTCCTTTTCAACCCAGGCCATTCTATGATCTTGCCTAGAAAGTCATTTAATGGAAGATTTTAAATGAAGCCAGCACATTCGCATATAATTGCCCCAAACAGAGATGCACAAGAGTAGAAAGTAATGAATGTAAATGATGGAGGGCAGTCGTGGAGAGACAGAGAACACACTTGGGTTGGGAGAGCCCTTGCAGCATCACAAAGAGCCATTTTCCCAATGGTGAGATGCTTTGCACGTGGATTCGTTTTCCTTCATGCATTTACTTTGACTCTCCCCTGCGCCTGCAGTGATTCCTGTGTTCCTTCACCCCCCACAAGACGTGGTGGCAGAGACAGGCCAGGATGTAGCCATCACCTGCGCTGCCCAGGGGGACCCACGGCCCACCATCACCTGGGTGAAGGTAAAGGGCACTGCACTGCCAGACCAACATTTCAACTATTTTGGGTTCTTAAACGGTTTAAAGGAAACATTGCTATTTCTCATGCTCAAAGCCTTGCAATGCACATTCCTGTTTTCTCTTGCTCTTCTTTCCAAAGAAGTAACATAAAGCCAGTGACCTTTCAGGATGTTAGGGATGCTTGACTGAACTATTCCCAGAGAAAACTGCAAACTGATTATTGTTTTCCTAAGTAGTTTTGCTTATTTCCAGGATTTCCACTGCTGGAACTGAATGGTGCTGGTTGACTGTAGCTTAGATGGGACAAAGCCATGATCCTTCACAGTCAGTCTGCAGCCTGGCTGCTCTTTTGAAGAATTTCGAAGAATTCATTAGATGGAGCTCTTCAGGCTTTTCCTTGCTGTGCCATAGCACTACAACTCGGGCCTTTCCTGGCTACCAGGACATTCAGGCATGCAACAGATTACAGGGGAAATAGCTTGAGCCTCATTTCTCCTGTGGAGATCTGTGGAGAGCAGCTTTCCAACAGTGGAGCAGGAGAGAGGAAGCATTACATTGGGCCAAGACAGTGAAAAGATGTTAAGGAAAAGAAGAATGAAATAAATCTGAAGCCACCAGCCAGGCTGAGAGGTGGGGTCGAGCACAGCGCTGCTCAGAGCCAGCAAAAAACTGCAATCTACAGCCCAAAGCCAGAAAAAAACCCCTCGGTTCCAGGCTACCCCCACAGTTATTTAGACTTATTCCTGCAGCACAGAACTTCTATGCCAGCCCATCTGTGCAGAGTGCAGTGCAATGGGTGCAGCACCCATGTCCTGCAGTGAGTGCTGGAGGCAGAGCACGCTCAGGAGCCGAGCACGCTGTCCTGCTGTCCTCGCAGTGGCTCCAGGCAGCAGCAGCTGTCCTCGGTTGGCTTTCTGCTTTCTTTCTTTCGAAGAGCAGTGCTAACACCTGGTGGCCACATTGGCTCATTGCATCCAGTTCGCTGAAGGCTGGGATGCAGGGGAGCTTTCCCAACGCTGACACCATTTCTGTCTTTTTGAACAGGAGGGGATTCAGATCACAGAGAGCGGCAAGTTCCACGTGAGCCAGGATGGGACTCTCTCCATCCAGGATCTTGGTGTGGCTGACCAGGGCAGATACGAATGCATAGCACGGAACCCCTTTGGCTTCACCTCCAGCGCCATGCAGCTCACCATCACCGGTAGTGTTACCTCCTCCTGGTGCTCCTTTTTGCCCTTAGGCAAAACAAGGATTATGTAGTGTTGATGGTTGTACTTTGGATGAAAACTCACTTCTTTAGCTTTGCAGACAGGTTGCTCACAAGCACGAAGGGGAGAACCTTCTTAGCATGTGCCAGCACGCTCCCACGTCTGACCCCAGTCTCACACACGGGGAAGGGAGAGGGAGAACAGCACTGCACTGTTAGTGCAAAGCAGGGGCTTAAAACATTCCCTCTGTCCCCAGGGACTGAGCAATAAGCCTCTGCTTTTCAAGCAACTGCTCTGTGCATTAGGGAAAGTGGAATGAATGAAGAAGAGCAGCACTCCTCTGCTGGTCAAAGCAGAGGTCAAGTGTGGCATTGTGCCTCATAGAGGGAAAGGAAGAACTGATGAGGGGCAAAAATGCAAAGGCGAACAATGAGGTTAACAATCTGAGTAGAGACCTTTACTCGAGCACGTAGGAATTACCAGCAGGAATAGTGAGCAGCTTATTAGGTGAAATTAATATCATTTTCAGGGACTGTATGCAGGGGGCTGAAAATAATCTGAAATCTCTTTCTTACTTGAAATTATTCCCGAGATAATTTCTGTGATTTATTCTTGGTTTGTCCCTCATTTCCCAGCTGCCTGCTGCATAGGCCAGTGCTCAAATAAAGACTGGTTTGCTTCGCTGTGAGAAAGGCCCTGCCTCAAAAAGAAAAATACATTTTTTAGGAATTTATCATTTACTTCTGAAGGTATTCAGGCAACAGCATTCGTTTTTGTTTTAAAATGGTGGTGTTGATGTGCTAACACTAACGAGTTGAATTTGAAGTGTCCCACAAATAGAAAATTAACATTTAAGTGATGCCTTCAGATGAATGTCATGAATTCTAGAAATGTCCTTTGCGGGAAATAAAAGCATTATTTTCAGTTCACCCACTGAGATTTGTACATTTTCTTTTTCCAGTTTAACCACCAACCAAAGCAGGCGTTCATTTGAGAAGCTGTACAGGAACAGATTCTGAATGCGTGTTGCACAGCCATCTCCTGGAAACATCACCTCTTTTTCTTCTTAATTAATTAAATTTAAAATGAGAATTTAACGTAATTTCTTCTTTAGAATATCTGTTAGAAAAAAGACACCAAAGTTTAACAGCGGTTGAATTACCAACGGCAATGCAATTTGACCTGCAGTAGAGTTACTTTGGGGCCAGTCCTCAGACAAATTTTCTTCAGCTTGGAAGACAAATTAATATCCAAGTAAATGCACAGTATTTATTCTCTCTTTCTGCTTTGGAAAGCCACGGACGTCGGCCGGAGTGGTGACACATTTGTAGCCACATCCCTGCAGGAAGCCATCAGCAGTGTGGACCATGCCATCAATTCAACACGCACTGAGCTGTTCAGCAGGTAAATGCGTGAAGGGCCAGGATCTCACATCTCATTGTGAGAGATGGGGACCAGAGGCACTGAATGAATCTTTCTGAAATCTCGTTTTGTCATTGACCATCCGCAAATGAAAGCTACTGGATTGTCCAGGGTATTGAAGGTTGAAGCTGTGCCATGTAGATGGAAGGATGTGCTAGGATTTCATAACAGGAAGGTGTTTGGAATCCTGGAAAGCACTGGTATATTAATGGCTCTTCTTACATTACATACATCTACTGCATGCATTTTGTCAACTGGGGTTGGCTCCAGAGACAGTACACAGAAAAAAATCATAGAATCATAGGATCACCACGGTTGGAAAAGACCTAAAAGATCATTCAGTCAGCATAGTCATTTTGTGAGTGCAATTGACTTTGTGCAAGGGAAGTGAAATGCTGATACAATTCTTAGCATTTCCTCAATGAGAAATGTCATCTAAGAGAATGAAAACTCCTTCCATTTCCGTTCCAAAATATGTTTTTTATTGAAACAATAAACAGTTTGTATTAAGCCCCAAACCTCTGGGTTTTGGTGACTGAAAGATAAATGGCTACAGAAAAAAAAAAAGCAAAACACCAAAACATGCAGATACCAAGAAGATTAAATATGTTTACTTTCCTGGGGAAAAATATCCTGTCTTTAATCACTTGTAAAATGTGGGTTAGCTACCTTTACGCGTTCTGGTTTTGAGGTCAAGCACCAAGGCAGGCTGAGAACCTGATTCCTGCAGGGTCCCGTTGCTCTGAGCGCTGTGTGTTTATTTTGATGTTCTTCTATCCCTTCTAATTCCTTGGGACAGACGCCCCAAGACACCCAACGACCTGCTGGCCCTCTTCCGCTACCCACGGGATCCTTACACCATTGAAACAGCCAGGGCAGGTGAGATCTTCGAAAGGACTTTGCAGCTGATTCAGGAGCACGTGCAGCAAGGTTTGATTGTGGATATGAACGTCACAGGTAAGGGAGATTTATTTCCCTTCGTAACCGCATGGGTAGAATGAAATTAAAATAACAGGGTGTAGGCATGCAGAAAATGTAAAAAGTCTTGTGCAATATTGTGCCAAAATGTCTCCACCGGTTATAGGTATGGTAAGAAATGTGTTGTCTGAGTTGCAGTTCTATCTAAGATCTCATGGGTGTCATAACAGCCAGAGGGTTGTGTGGCTGCTGAACCAGCTCAGCGCTCAGGAGAGTAGTTCAGTTTTGCTAAACATTTCCTGGTTGTCTATGCAGACATTAATGATCCCTATGAACATTCACCACATTCACCCATCTAACTCCCACAGCTTCGGAGAGGGGCAGAGCATCAGAGTGCCTCTGTGGGTCTGAGTTTTGGTCATAGAATCACGAAGGTTGGAAAAGACCTCCAAGATCCTCAAGTCCAACCCCAGCACACCCCACTGTGCCCACTGCCCTCATCCCTCAGTGCCACATCTCCACAGCTCTGGAACACCTCCAGGGACGGTGACCTCCCCCCACCTCCCTGGGCATCTGTGCCACTGCATCACTGCTGTTTCAGATACGGAATTTTTCTTAATATCCAAACTGATTTCCTGCCTTCCAAGTGGCAACAAGCAAAATGCTGAAAACTCTGGTGTGTTTGGATTCTGAACAGAGAAAGGGGATCTTACTCCTGATTTTTGCCATATGTGGTCTTTTAGGACTTTGACCTCCTAGCTACATACTCCCACATGTCCCAGCCACTCAGATTCCTCTTTTTAGGACAAGATATCAAGCACCACAGAAGTGGAACACCATGGTGCTGTGCTGGCCAGAGATCACAGAATTGTAGAACACCCTCAGAAGGCACCCTAAGGATCGTCGAGTCCAACCCCTGGCTCTGCACAAGACCACCCAAAAATCAGACTGTGTGCCTGAGAGCAGTGTCCAAATGCTTGTTGATCTCGGGCAGCTCAGGGCTTTGACCACTGCCCTGGAGAGCCTGTTTCATGCCCACCACTCTCTGGTGCAGAACCATTCTCTGATATCCAGCCCAAACCTTCCCACAGATCCCTGCAGAAATCTAAGTGCCCCGCAGTAGCCTTCCTGTGTTTGGACATTTCCTTTCACTGCACACTGCTACCTATATGTGTTAGTCATTGTGTAGCAGGCATGTACGTTTGGGCCTGTAAATACTCTATGCCTGCCTGGATCCACTCCAGGCTGCAGGGAATCTCCCTGCAAGCTGCAGGTCAGGTCTGGGCTCATTGCCCTGCCAGTCTCTCCCTGTTCCTGCATACACCGCAGCATTATTCAGCACATCGCCGAGTCACCAGCAGCTTCCCTGCTGCTCGTCACGTAGTTTGGGTGATCAGAGGTGCTCAGGGTTGCAGCATTTAATCCAGAGAGATGTGAAATAATCCCAGTGCTGACTGCAGAACGGGAACCAAGCCACCTTGCTGTTTGGTCTGCCAATCTCAGCAGTTCTGATTTCCATCTTTGCACGGTTCTCATGAAATCCTTTTCCCTTTCTTTTCTTTTCTATGGGCCTGATATTATCTTATGCTTCCGTATGTTCTGTAAATCACATGTAGCTCGAAGATATGGTCCTCCCATGCCCGTTCTGGGAATCCCAGAAGCAGGCTTCCAACAGCACCCTGACGTGGGAACCAGATGGCACAGTGACTGGCTCTGACACTGCGCTGTTGGTTCCATTTGCAGGTTATCGTTACAACGATTTGGTGTCACCTCACTACCTGAACATGATTGCCAACCTGTCCGGCTGTTCTGCTCACCGCCGCACACCCAACTGCTCCGATATCTGCTTCCACAAGAAATACAGGACCCACGATGGTTCCTGCAACAACCTGCAGCACCCAATGTGGGGCGCTTCTCTCACCGCCTTCCAGAGGCTCCTCAAACCTGCTTATCAGAACGGATTTAACCTCCCCCGGGGGTTTTCCTTGGCAGAAGATGCCAGGGACCTGCCCCTTCCCTTACCCAGGCTTGTCTCCACCGCCATGGTCGGGACTGAGACCATTACCCCAGACGAGCAGTTCACACATATGCTCATGCAATGGGGCCAGTTTCTGGACCACGACATGGACCAGACAGTGGCAGCCATCAGCATGTCCCGCTTCTCAGATGGAGCACCCTGCAGCCAGGTATGCAGCAATGACCCACCCTGCTTCTCCGTCCTGATCCCCGCCAACGACCCACGTGTCAGGAATGGGCGCTGCATGTTCTTTGTGCGCTCCAGCCCCGTGTGTGGCAGTGGGATGACCTCCCTGCTGATGAACTCTGTCTACGCCAGGGAGCAGATCAATCACTTGACCTCCTACATCGATGCCTCCAATGTGTATGGCAGCACCGAGCAGGAATCACGTGAGCTGCGGGATTTGAGCAACCAGAATGGATTGCTGAAGCGAGGGAGGATGGTGCCCAGCTCAGGGAAGCACCTCCTGCCATTTGCTGTGGGGCCTCCCACTGAATGTATGAGGGATGAGAATGAGAGTCCTGTGCCATGCTTCCTGGCCGGAGACCACCGTGCCAACGAGCAGCTAGGGCTCACGGCCATGCACACTCTGTGGTTCAGGGAGCACAACCGCATTGCTGCTGAGCTGTCTGTCCTCAATCCCCACTGGGACGGAGACCTCCTGTACCACGAGGCGCGGAAGATCGTGGGTGCCCAGATGCAGCACATCACCTACACCCACTGGCTCCCCAAGGTCCTTGGGGAAGCAGGGATGAAGATGCTGGGTGAGTACAAAGGCTATGACCCCAACGTCAACGCGGGGATTCTCAACGCTTTCGCCACCGCCGCCTTCCGCTTTGGGCACACTTTGATCAACCCCATCCTGTACCGGCTGAATGAAACCTTCCAGCCCATCCGCCAGGGCCACGTCCCCCTGCACAAGGCCTTCTTCTCCCCTTTCAGGATCACGCAGGAGGGTGGGATTGATCCACTCCTCCGTGGGCTCTTTGGGGTTCCTGGGAAAATGCGGGTCCCCTCAGAACTCCTCAACATGGAGCTGACAGAGAAGCTCTTCTCCATGGCACACTCTGTCTCCCTGGACTTGGCTGCTATCAATATCCAGAGAGGACGAGATCATGGCATTCCACCTTACAACGACTTCAGGGTCTTCTGCAACCTCTCGTCTGCACAGGAGTTTGAGGACCTCAGAAATGAGATAAAGAACTTGGAGATCAGGGAAAAACTCAGGAGGTACTGTAGCCTGGACTCAGAGGGATCAAAATCACTGAAGATCAGCTAGTGAAAAGCTTTTGCTCCTCCTAGAGCATCAGTCAAATAACCTTCCTATCAGATGACCAGATATTGCTGTCCACAGATATTGGGATGTTAGTAGCTGTGGTTTGAGAATAGAGTAGGAGAAATAAGGTCTCTCCAAGTGATCAGGCTCTTTGTGAGCAAAATGTCATCAGGCACTGCTGTGGTGTAGCCTGGGAGCAGACTGAGCCTTGGAGCTGTTTTCCAGAGACTAAACTGCAGTGTACGTACTGGCTGCTATGAGCTTACTCTTTCCAAGACAGACCTTTATCCCAGTGTCTTTTAGATAACACCAAATTAGAAATATGACCTAGATTACTTCCTGTCGTACACATGCCTACAATAGGATCAATTTTTTTGTCTTTACATTTTGATAGTTTTAAATGTTTGTGGGGTTTTTTTGTTTGTTTGTTTTTTTGTTTTGTTTTGTTTTACGTATATATGTGTATATTTATCCTTCAGCTTATATGGAACTACCAAAAATATTGACCTGTTTCCAGCCCTGATGGTAGAGGATCTTGTCCCTGGAACCAGAGTTGGACCAACGCTGATGTGCCTGTTAACAACACAGTTCAGAAAGCTGAGGGATGGAGATAGGTATTATCATCAAAGTCAACTCAACATTCTGTTTGGGGAGATTTGCTCCCTGTGAGGAGCGAGGAAGGAACAGAACTTGTCATTTTTGTTTGTTCTTTGTCTTACGATAGCAAGAAGGGTCTCCTCTGTTCAGGACTTGTCACAGGTACTTTCAGTGTGTGCATTCATGCACACACCATTTCCCTTTCCACTAAGAAAGTTCTTGAGTTCTCAGAACTCAAGAGAATATCAGCTTCCTTGTGATTCCCAATTTGCTCCTTGTGCAAGTGCCTTGAGATTCCCCTGCACAGGGCTGTAGGTACGAGCGGTCGCACTCTGCAGCTCACAGGGATTCCTGGGTTCACAGAACTGAACTTTGTGTTCACAGCTGCCTGATAGCAAAATAAAAGCTCCTTTGGGGTTCTGGGTGCTGCCATACAGATGTAGAGGATCTCATCTGCCATCTTCCTCTCTCATGCTGTGATTACGACACCCTGCAGGTTTTGGTATGAGAACCCAGGAGTCTTCACGCCGGCGCAGCTGACTCAGCTCAGACAGTCGTCCCTCGCTCGTGTCATCTGTGACAACAGCGACCACATCCAGCAGCTCCAGAGGGACGTCTTCCGTGTGGCATCGTACCCACAGGGCATGGTGGGCTGCGAGGAGATCCCTGCTGTGGACCTTCGCTTTTGGCAGGACTGCTGCGAGGGTAGGGAGCAGGCTGTGCCAGTGCTGTGAGGTGGCATTGTCACATGCCGTCTCTTTTTATGTGAAGGGTCAGGAGCTGGTTTCATGAAATTAAATGCATCGAATCTGGCCAAAGGTCCATCAAGGCCGTTCAGGGCTTCTCTCTCTGGCAGCTGGTGCATAGGGAGTGAGACTGAGCAGGATGTGGGCATGGTGACCCCATAACTAAATTTACGTGTTTGAGAGTCTGCAAGGCTCCTGCATTAAACTGAAGATCCTACCATAGTCACTTTGTGTGATATTCTGGCTGCAAACACCCAATGAGACATAAGAATCTATGCACAATTAATCTCCTTCATTCTGCTGTATGAGATGTGTAAAGGCTGAGTGGTGAAGGAGGGCAGCACTGCCCTCCTCATGCTTCATTTTAAGCCAAATGGCTCTATTTTATACACAAGTGCTAACACAGGCTTTCCTTTCCTTGGTCAAGTATTGGCACAGGCTGCCCAGGGAAGTGGTGGGTCACTGTCCATGGAGATGTTCAAGAACTGTGGAGATGTGGCACTGAGAGACATGGCTAATGGGCATGGTGAAGGGTTGGGGTTGGACCTGGGGATCTTAGAGGTCTTTTCCAACTTTAATGACTCGATTGTTTGTTTCCTTCCCTAGATTGCCAAACCCGTGGGCAATTCAGGGCCCTTTCTCAGCGGTTCCGAAGCAAGAGATCTCCTGGATTCAGCTACCCTGAAGAAAACCCTGCCAAGCACAAGCCTGCCTCCCCCAGGTGGATATTAACACTTTCAACCTCTGTTCAGAAGTGTAAGAAAAGTTTTTAATTACTCAGGCCATTCATGCCTTTAACACTGGCATTTTGCACAGCAGTGTTTCACTAAGTAAATGCTGAGTTTGGTCAAATTTATCCAACACTTTAGCAGAGAACAGGATTCTGCTTTTTAAATATTTGGGCAGATCAGGGTACCACTGAGTGGCTGTTTAACTGACATCTCTTGGAAGACAAAACAGTAGTTGGGCCCTTCAGCAGCCATCTTGTTATATGGAGGCTGATGTTGGAGAAGGCAGAATCATTCTCTAATCCAGGAAGTCAACGTTTCTGTAATTCCTTTCCCTTTTCATCCCTCACCCCAGAAATGAGGCGACTTCTCCAAGCTCTTCTTCCAGAGAGAATCTTGAGTCCCTTGTGGCTGAACTGGAGAAGGCAGTCACTTCCCTACGGAAACAGGTAAAACTGTGTGCCCCAACATTCATCTTCCATGGAGTCAGCCTGAGAGCAGGACTTAGCTGTTTGCTATGAGTAGTTTCTGTGCCCTCCAGATCCAGGAGCAACCGCTGGATGCGAGTAGCCTAGGATCACAGGAAACTAACAGCACATAAAGAGCTGGGAGAAGATGAGTTCTTTGTGCTCAGACCTCGACAACTGCAGGGGAAGCACAAGTTTGAGACTGAAAGTGACTCGAGCTAGCACTTTTTTTCTTGTATTTGGGACAAGTTAAAGAGCACAGGCTCTGGAAGACGTGGTTTAGTGGTAGGACTTGGTAGATCAGGTTGATGATTGGACTTGATCTCGCAAGTCTTTTCCAACTCGAATGATTTTATGATTCTAGCCAATAGTGAAGGCGCTACTAAGATCTGCTTTTCATCCCCACCAGGTGCATGTACTAGAGAGCCAGCTGAGGTGGCACCACAGGAACACCAGCACGTATGAACAGGGGAAGAAGACTGGGGACAAACGGAGAAAAAGTTGACCGTATTGCCTCCTCGTATATGAGGTCAGTGTGTTTGTTCTGGGCTAGGGTCCTGCAGGTGGCTCAGTGCTTGTGGAGGGACAGCTGTGCAGCCTTCATATACAGAAAAGACTTGCAGTAAGGAATGGAGCAATCCAGTAATGAGTTGGACGAGGTAATAGGCTTAAATGCAGCAGGTTAGACACCATTTCTAACAGTAATGATTAGTGACTCACCGGAATGAGTTGTCTGGGGATCTTGTGGCATATCCATATCTGGAGGTCTTTTAAGAACTGGTTTGGCAAAGATGGGGAAATACATAAGTATAGGACTTATGTGGACTGGGTGAGGTGTCTGAGGTTTATTCTCCAGGGATGTGGGTAGCTTTCTTCTAGCAACACTTAATGCCACAACACCAAACCCAACAGCCTCCAGAGGACCTCTGTGGGGAGAGAGAGTAAGAAGTGCAGTGATGGAGCAGATGGACTGGTTCCTCCTCAAGGTAACGAGGACATCTTGGCACATGGAGCAATCCATTATTTGCTTACATATTGACAGAGATTTCCCCCTTGACAACTGAGTCACTTTGCACCTCTGTGCTGAAAGCATCAGTCCTATGTTTGCTCGACTCCAGCCAAGGGAGCGAGGCTGTTGTATTTCTCAAGTCAGTATAAGCACTGCAGCAGTGGCAGAAATCTGCAAGACCTCTGGTTCCCTGTGTTCAGAGTCACAGTGAGCACAGGCTGAGTTCCCTTCCTGCCACTTCCATGGATATCCCTGCAGCCTTGAACAACTCGCTGGAACCTGCCAGTCTGGAGGAGGTGGTTGATAGTTTTTACGTGTTGCAAATTACTACTTCATGGACAAGAGGAGTTATGCAGAAGCACTGCCCTGCCAGGCAGTCTGTGCTAGAAGAAGCATCCACTGGAAGTTAGATTAATGGGGAGGGCACACCAAGGCTGATCTGTGCTGATAATCTCTGTGGAAAAAGGAGAAGCTTGTAGACCGCCCATGCCATTTTCCAGCCTGATTTGATATGTGGGTTTCTGCACATTTTCCACTTGAATACCGATCCTGTTCAGAAATTTGACAGCCATAGGCTGCACTGCTACCCACACGAATTGGCTTTTCTTTGACATCATTTGCAGATCCTTGAAGAGCGCTGTAGGGGTTTTACAGGGTCCCCCAGATCTATTTGTCATTGTAAAGGATTATTGCTGTTCTTGTGCTGCAATCACACGTGCCTCAGGCACAATACAAATGGTGATCTCTGCCTCTCACAAAGTTTTTTTTCTCTTTTTTGTGCTGTTCCAGGTGTCTGGTGATCTGTGCTCTTGCTCACCGTCAGCCAGTCCAACCCATTCTTCAGAGGCTCCAAGCAACCCATGAGCCCCCATGACACCCTGCCACCTCCTGTGCCACCTCTTGTCCCAGAACATCTGTCCTTCTGCCTGTATTGAGCCCTGCACTGCAGCCCCTCAGCCCCTGCACTGTTCCAGCCCTTGTCAACCTCTAGGGATGGGCTCTGCCACCACCACACTGTCCTGCTAGATGGTGCCAAGATGCCACTTCCTTCCACCAGTCCTCAAGAAATGGAGGATAACTGAAGCTGCCTTAGATTCACCATTGTGCCCTTCTCCTCTTTTCATCCATCTTTGACATCATCTTCCTACCCCTGGTCTGAAATGTTAACTGAAAGAATTCATTACGAGACAAAACCTCTCTCAGATGCACTATCTTCAAGCCAGGAAACATCTGGAAAAATCTGTATGTGGTTTGAAAAAAGGAAAATTGAACAAGCATGAGATACTCTAATGCTAACAGAAAAACCAAAAGGAACCTGAGGGCCCTGGAAAGCATTGTGTGGGCTGGGCTGGGTCCATGCCTGCAGCAGTGAGCTGGATCCAGAGCCTGGGGAGGTCTTGCAGTTGCTTGGGTGCTTCAGGACAAGCTGTGGCAGCCCACCATGCTGAGGCCTGCTGCTGTGCTTTGCCACCTGATTGGTAATGGGTGGCACATCCTCAGTGCTGTGACCCTATGAGTGACCTCCCATTGCTTGCCTGGTGCTCAGAAACATTTTCTTCAATACTAACTGCATTCTCCAGGGTTCTGCCCTTCTGAGGTTTAATTGGATTTATGTTTCTCTTCCTTTTTTTTTTTTTTTTTTTTAAACTCCCAATGGCTCTTCACTGGAAGATGTGTTTTGAGTGTAAATGTAGCAGGACCTGCAACAGAACCTCTGATAATTAGATGTAATGGGCACTCTCATTAGTGAGGGGGAGCTGCTGGTTTCTGTCAATTAGTACTGGAGAACACGATGTGCAGTATTTGACACACTGATGAATGCGAAGTGCTGCTTGTGTTTATTGCTCCTAGGTGCTCTGCAACGAAACCACGACTGTGCAACCAGCTCTCCTGAGCTGGTCTTCTGGTTTCCTTGCTCTTTGGAGGTGCTTTTTAGTGGTGCTAGAACTGAGGTCCCTGTGCATCCACCACAGCCACCTATCTGTGGGCAGATTGGTTCTTAATCCATCTGTGTAAGCCAAGCACAGGGGCTGAGAGAAGATACTTGATCTGTTTGATAGCTGTGCCTTATCTTTTTCACTTTTCCTGTGTCCTCCCACCTGCCTTCCCCAGTGCAAGGACCCACATCTTTTATGAATGTGCTTTCCCTCATCTTCTCCTCCTTTTTTTAGATGTGTGATAGTACCAAGGGGATTCAAAGCAACAGAGATGCTCCTGGAACTTAATAGGAAAATAAAACAAAATAGGAGAAAAAGGTTGTGATTTCTCAGCAATTTCCTGGCGTGGGACTCTGAGCTGTGTGTGCATGTCCTGTGCAGACAGAGGCTGCAGTGATGAGTGTGTGTTATGCATGTCTGGTAAGCTCAGAGGCAGCATTTAGTCCTCGGGGATGTTTGTCACGTTGAAGTACTCTTTCATTTAGGTGCAAATCAAGGTCCAAAGCCTTGCGTGTTCTCTATCAGCTGCACTTGTCTCTTGCTTGTACCACCAGAGAATCCAATCTGGCAGAGGTCAATAAAGGTAAATCAGTCTCCAGTCTCCTGCAAACCACAAGTTTACCAAGTCCCCATTCAAAGCAGCAAGACATAAATGGTTGGTGCTTGATCTAATCAGATAATTTCTGTAAATGCATAAGTGAGCAGGGCTTCTGCTTCCCCACAGAGCATGTGCAGCCTTGGTGCAGCCTTGTCACTGGGACAGCTGCCCCTTTGCTCCCCATGTGTTGCAAACCCTGAGCTCCATCTTCCGTTCCTCTCCCCGGGCTGAGGTGGGAAAAACATGCAAAAATTAAACATCAGTTCATGCCCCCATCAGCAAGGCTGTGAGCAAGAGAAGATATGGCGGAATTGCCCATATACCCAGGTGTTATTTTGCAAAGAATGTTTTGCTGAAGACTTGCTTTTCTCTCCATCCCCTCTGTGCAGCAAGGTGAGACCATTACAGTGAATTAATCTGTTTTCTTTATTTGTTTTAGAGAACCTCTTTGAAAAACCCATCTCCACACCCAGAATGAACTCCCCCCAGCCATGACAGCAGGGGAGGATCGAAATAACAAGCTCAGGGCCGGGAGCTGAGTTCCTGGGGGAGCTGCTATTGCCGAGCACTGCCAGGCACAGAACTCCCACTAATTAGATGGAACAGTTAAGTGACAAAACCCACGCAGGGGTTGCTGAGGGGGCTGGTGGTGGGATTCGTAGCACAGTGGATTTTCAGACAGCTGAAGGAACGCAACCCACATGCACTGTGTGAATCTCCATCCTTTGCTGGGGATGAGGGCTCAATGCGAGGGTCATGGAGGCACCTGGGGCTGATCCGGGGCGGGGGGGGGGGTCCATCCTGAGGCATCAAGAAGTGAATTCCTTAGAGATGCCCTGAGAAAGAGAAATGAATGGGAAGAGGCAAATGCAGGGTGATATCTATCCAGCAACTGCCCAAACTTCAGACCTCCTCCAGGTTACTTTAATTCTATTTTCCTTTGGAAAAAAAAAAAAAAAAAAAAAAAAAAGGAAAAATAAAGCCCTCCCACGCACGGGGGACCGCGACCATTAACGAGAGCCCGCCGCTCATCACAAGAGCTGCTTAAAGAGCAGCGAGCCGTGTTTACCAGCACTCTGGAAACGAGCGTGAGAGCGCACGTTAAAATCCTAATTAAAGGCGAAGCCTTTCTCCTCTTGCGAGCACTGCCCGGCTTGGCGGCTCCAGCTGTGCCAGATGTGCCCGCAGGTCTCCCACACAGCGACGCGTCCCGCCCGCGCACTCACCCCACCAGCCCAACGGGTTTCACTTTCAGAAATAGGAAGTTGGTGGCAGTGAGCGCCCAGACGCGTGCGGGTCGGGACGGAGGTGGAGAGCTGCCGGGCGCTGCGGCGCGGGGCCGACGGCATGAGCTCCCCGTCCGCCCCTCGTTGTGCCTTTGGGAAGCGCCGGGGAATAGGAGCGTGGTGACATCCAGGCGCTGCATCCTCCAGGGATGGAGCAGTTTGTCCGCAAGCGTTTGACCTTCTTGACATCCTTCTGGAACAAGCTGTGGCCACGCTCAGGGCCGGATAGCTGCTCGCTGGGGTACTTTGGTTCCGATTCTGTTTCGCTGCACTCGGAGCCTAGCTGCGTTTCCTTCATCCCAAAGTCCTCTCTCTTTATCGCTTTATACGCTTTCACAGCCCGCAGTGCAGATGAACTGAGTGTAAATGCAGGGGACAAACTGCGTGTCCTCAGAGAAGAAGGGGACTATGTCTTAGCCAGGAAGCTGCTGGGGGAACCAGCCACGGGATACGTCCCTGCTGCGTATGTGGCCAACCTCAGCCAGGGCACCTCTGCTCACCGACCGTAAGTATCCAACTTGTCTGTGTGTAGGGTGGGGGGTGGCCCTGCAGCAGCACAACCCTGCCCAGGAATGGCAATGGGAACCTTCATGCGGCTGTGCTGAGGCTTTGCCTGTCCCTGGGCGTCCCTGTGAGGGAGCTGATAGCAGTGGGGTGGAGGGTTCAGGATGGTGGGCAAAGCCTGAGGACATGCTGGGGACAATTATGCTGGTCCCCCTCCTGTGTGCATCATTCCAGCACAGGAGTAGGTGTGCTCAGCTGAGACATGGTTCAGTGATGTACCAAAACAGGTCCCTGCTTGCTCTGGTTCCTTTTCCCTTTAAGGGGAGACAGTGGGGAGGGATGGAGCTGAGGAAATCACCAGGTCCAGCTTGTGTCAGCTCCAAAGAGCCTGTGAGAACAGAGAGAAGTGCTTGAGTTGAGAGCTGTCAGGATTCATTAGGACTAAGCCATGCCTACACTGTTCTGGTGCATCCAGGATGGGGTTCCCCTCCCTGCTGTTGCCTCTCCCATCTGTGTGGAACTGGGTTACCATCCTCATCCAGGAAAAGCCTGGACTCATCCTTACATAAGGCAGCCCAGTCATGACACGCTGGGTAAAGTGTGCCCTGAGACATCGGTGCTCCCCTGCACTGAGTCAACGAGCCCTGAGGCCCCGAGTCAGTGAGCAGGATGTGGGTGGGTGTGGGATCCCTGCGCTCCCTCAGGGCTCCTGCAGCCCCTCCATGCTGAGATAAAGGGGCTCAAATTGCAACCAGAGCCCCTCCCTCGCTCCTTACCCTGCCTACACTTTGGGGCAAATTGGCTCGATTTGGGACTGCACCTGCAACATGCCTGGTGGGTTTGGCTCCCTGCCGTGTTCCTATTGCATCGGCTGAAGTGGAGTGGGTGTTTGTGTCTGTGTATCTATATGTGTTCTGAGAGCAGAGGTGAGGGTGATGCCAAGGGGCAGCCGAAGCGAGCTGGGAGCACACAGACTGTGCGGAGCCACAGGTCTCAGCTGGGTGCTAATTTGCCTTGCTGCAGTAAGCCCATCATGGTTAATTTCCCACACAGCAGATGCTGGCAATCCTGACTAATGATGAAACCTCCGGCTTTGCACATCCTAGCTGGAAGGAAGCAGCCTCTTCCTCGGGCTCCTGTGCGTCACACAGGCGTCGGGCCCCAACCACCAACCTGCCTTTTCTTGCTGGAGATTTCGTGCATGAACGAAGGGTTTGGTTGGGTACTCCCTCGTGGCTCAGCATTGCTGATAGCAGTGCATCTGGTGCAGCAAAGGGCAGCTGCAGTGCACAGAGCTGTGGGAGGAAAACTCCCAAACTGGGGATCCATTTGGGGTCCCGTACCCTCCTTCCCAGGTGGGGCAATGTGCATCCTTTCCCTGGAAATGGAAATGGGCGCTCCTGAGCCACCTTTGGAGCTGTATCCATCAGAAGGGAAAAGAGAAAGAACTTCCCAATTTTGAGCATGGTGCGAAGATAAAACAGCCTATAGCCTTGCCCTAGTGCATGCAGAGGATGAACTGGAAATACGAATTATTTGGGTCTTGGGGCACGTGGCTATGAGCAGATTGTTTGGAGAAGGATGAAAGGCACCTTCTGCTGAGCATTCCAACGAAACACAAAGAAAGCATTTGAAGTTGGAAAGCTGTGATAAAATGCATCGAGTGCCTGTGAGAGCAGTGAAACAAAGCAGCCCCGTTGCAGTCACTATGATGTTCATTCTTGCCCCGTGCACAGCCTGTACAGCACCACTGCACTCTGCCCCATCCCTACTGGGAATCTGCCCCAGCTCTGACTGCCCTCTACTCTCCCCCAGGTGGTATTTCAGCAAGATCAGTCGCAGTGAGGCCGAGCAGCTGCTCCTCTCGCCTCCCAACCAGCATGGCTCCTTCCTTGTCCGGGACAGTGAGAGCAGCAGGGGCGAGTACTCTCTCTCAGGTAATTTTGGGGTAATTATCCTGAGAAAATGAGCACAGAGAAAGGAGCCAGGCTGGTCCCCAGGAGCAGCTCAATCAGCACTGGGAGAAAAAGAGAAATATGCTTGGAGTGCTCTACAGCACCTTGTTAAAAGGAGCTAACTGCTTCCTAAAAGCGAACAGTTTGTAGGTATGGATCACTGCGTTACTGTGGCAAAGGAGAGTGCATCGTTTCCATTGAAGTATGAAAGCCATGAGCACATTACAGCAGTTTAATGACAGTTTTGCAGCACTAACTCCTGGGATTTCGTTCTGGTGGCTTTTGGGGTCTGACTTCGGCTGCAAGGTGTCAGGGCCTGGTGTGCTCCTATGCACAGCAAGTTGAGCGTGGGGAGTTTCAGGCCAGGCAGCGTCATTGCAATGTGGTCTGATCCAAGTCAAACATCTCCAGCTCCTGGCAAGCCATAGCTCTGTGCTGCAGCATGCTTTCTGCAGGTACAGCTGCTCCTGATTCACCAACCCCACGCGGCGATGAACTCAGACGCTCTCTGAGCAGCTCATTTGCATGGGAATGGTTTCCTCACATAAAGCATTTCCTCTCTGCTCCAGCACCGCCTGTAGCTGGCAGTCTGCTGAGCCAGGCAATGCCAGAAGGAGGGGTGAACCCTGGGACTCCTTTAGAAGGAATTAAATATCCCAGGAGAGGCAATGGAGGGGACACTGGGGACATGGGAAGGAGCTGAGATTCTCCCCCTGGGCTTCCCCTGCAGTGCGCAACCACACCAAAGTCAGCCATTTCCGCATCTGCAAGAGCCCTGCAGGCAGCCTGTACATCCAGAGGGGTCATCCCTTCCCTGACATGGAGGAGCTGCTTGCCTTCTACACCGAGAACTGGAAGGTCATCCAGAGCCCCTTGCTGCAGCCCTGCAGCCCCACGGTGCGTACAAGGCTGCCCCCCAGCTGCTTTTCCATTTGGGCTTGGTTGGGTGGGTCAGAGACTAAAAGATGTGGAAGAAAGGAAAGAAGCTAAGTAGGGAAGATCAGAAATAGCACGTATCCATTTGGGATTCAAGCTTTGTTAAACTAAAAGCTGTAACATACTGTTAGCATAACTTCCAGGTCACATTCATTGGCTGTATTAGGGCTGGGCTTGGTGTTTTTGTGCATGGAGAGCTGCCTTGCCCAGCTTGTGGCCTGGCCAAACGGCACAGCCTTTTCTGAAATGTTTGCTCCATGACAAAGACTCAAAACCACGTTGTTACAAATTCCTTCAATACTGAGTCTGGAAATAGCTGCTCTTCCAGATTTTTCCTAGAGAATAATAAGACCACTTGGCTTTTCTATGGTTCTCATGCCAATTAGTGTGGCACTCATAAATTCAGCTATGGCACAAATCCCAAATTACTAGCTCACTCCCTGATTAGAATTGCATTTGCTAGTTATGGCTTAGAAATAACAATTAAATATGTGAATAATTGGAGAGTGAAATGGGCTAAGAGATAAATGCTTAATGATTTGAAGCCTAAACCAGCCATAATATGTAATGATATTAATTTATTCATTTTTTATTCATTGGTGGAAATGGAGAAAAAGCCATCTTTGGGGGCTGATGAGGAGTTACCTATGCACTATCATAGAACCACAGAACGGTTGGGTTGGAAGGGACCTTACAGCTCCCCAACCTCTATGCCAAGGGCTGGTTGACCCCCACCAGCTCAGGTTGCCCATCCATGGCCTCGGGCACCTCCAGGGATGCATGACACTGATGTGTCCCTGCCCTGCCCTGCTTGGGACCAGCAGCTGACACAGGCTGTCCCAGTGGGTCCGAGCATGCCATGTCCCTTCTGCAGACCCCCCCGGAGAGGGATGGCTGGGAGCGCCCGCGCTGGGAGTTCACCCTGCGGAGGAAGCTGGGCGAGGGCTACTTTGGAGAAGTGTGGGAAGGACTGTGGAGGAACACAGTGCCTGTGGCCATCAAGATCATCAAAGGTGCGTGGAAGGGCAGATGATAATGGTGATCTACCGAGTGTCTTGTTTGCTGCCACGGCATTCATGCCCTTTTGTTTCCTGGTCCTCTTGGTCACTGTGTCTGTCTCGTCAAGCAAACTGTGGTAGGACCTGGCATGTAGCCATGTATGGACCTGTACAAGCTTGTGCTGTGTCTCTACGTAATGGCTCAGCAGGTTTGTGGTAAATCTCGATGGAACAATGACAATGAAAATGGGATCCAAAGCCCAGTGGCAAACATCTCATGGGTGTTTGGACCTGAGATGCAGGGTGTGCAAATACCAGGCTTGAGAGACGCAGGGAGGATAAAGGTCCTTATGTCAGATGGGAGGTGCAGAGCTCTGAAGGTCTGAGTGAGAAAGGGCTCACAGCAGCTTTCTCCATCAGCTGACATGAAGGCAGAAGACTTCACCAAGGAGATTCAAAACCTGAAGCGCTTGAGGCATGAGAAGCTGATCCAACTGCACGCTGTCTGTTCACTGGATGAGCCTGTGTACATCATCACCGAGCTCATGCGGAAAGGCAACCTGCACAGCTACCTCAACAGTACGTCAGCTTATTTTTCTTGGCTTTTATTTCCTCTCCCAACCTGGTAATCAGACTTTGAGGGAAACAAGACCAACAGCTCCCACCAAGACCTGTTTTTCTGCCGGGTGTATCCCTCCTCCTCCAGACCTCTGGGCTGGGGCTCTGGCAGCAGTTGGTGCCGGAGGAGAAGGAGCTTGCAGGTAGGATGGATTGGGAGCAGACTTGCATGGCAGCAGGTCACCTTCAGTTTTGACCAAGCTACAGGCTTCTGCATGCTCTTGCAGCACAAGTTGCTCCTCAGGCTCAACGCAGTCCCATTCCTGATGAGCACATGGCCATAATGAATGTACCACACAGCACAGCCCTCACCTCAGATTTGACTCTTTCATGTTCCCCACATCTCCCACACTGCTGGCACAGAGTCTCCTTTCAAACCTGAACACCCTAAAATAAATGTTACTAGTTTGCCTCAAATGCCTGGATCATTTGGGTTGACAGGTCCTGAAGGGAAGTCCCTGGGCACCTCCCACCTGCTCAACATTGCCTGCCAGGTGGCAGATGGGATGAGATACCTGGAAGAGAAGCACATCGTCCACCGGGACTTGGCAGCCAGAAACATCCTGGTGGGAGAGGAGCTCACCTGCAAAATTGCTGACTTTGGACTGGCCCGGCTCCTCAAGGTCAGTCAGTGGGTCACTGAGCTGCCCCACACTGCAGCCATCACCTGTTGACCCCTTCCCATGGCCTCCAAGGCAAAGCCCTATAAGCAGCAGCTGCACTCATCTTGCAAGCCCTCAAACACTGTCTCCCTTTGTTTTTCAGGATGACATTTATTCCACCAGCAGCAGCACCAAAATCCCAGTGAAATGGACAGCCCCTGAGGCAGCCAACTACCGCACCTACTCCCTCAAATCCGATGTCTGGTCCTATGGCATTCTGCTCTATGAAGTCTTCACATACGGGCAGATCCCATATGAAGGTAGGGCTGATGGTCCCTTCCAGTATCTTGCCCATGCTCTTCAAAAGTCAGAGTGTCAGGAGTTGTCATATTATCCCTTCTGCAATGGAAGTGGAAGCACCTCCTGGCACATGATATGGTTATTGTTCAGGGGAATTTTGGTGTTTGCGGAGGGATCTGGAAGGTGGTATGGACTGAATGATCTCTCTCAAACCAAACCTGTGGCAGAAGCCGTTTCCAAGCAACACTCGTTGATCTCTTGGCCCATTACAGGTCTACCTTCAGTAAGTCCTTCGGGAACATTAAGGTGAAGGAAATCTTCTCTTCCATTGCAGGAATGACAAACCAAGAAACCATACGACAAATCACCAGGGGCTACCGCCTTCCCCGGCCCAGCTCCTGCCCTCCTGAGATTTACAGCATCATGTTGGAGTGCTGGAGTGGCAACACGGAGGAGCGGCCCACCTTCCTGGCACTGCGGGAGAAGTTGGGCTTCATCTACAGGCGGCTGCTCAACACCCTGTCCTGAGGGACCTTCCCATCCTTCCAGCAAAACTCCCTTTGGGCCAGCTCTTGCCAAACATCTCCTTCCTTATGGTTGCCCTCCCATAGGACTTGAAGGAAAGCACGTGTCCCATCCCCCTCCCCTACCCCCCCCTAAAAAAAACCCAACAAACAGCCCCTGGACTCTCTTGGTGAGGATGCAGGGAGGTGGCCAAGGGAAAAGGAAATGAAAGTGTGAATTCATTACTGGAGCTTGGCTGTGCAGCAATCTTGGAAAGCCCCATGGTAGTGAAGACATCACCCAGTTCACAGCTCCATTCAGCCAGTAGGTGGGAGGTTCCTGCCAATCCCCACACCAACATGAAGGTTTGCAGTTTGTTTTTAGTTGTGGTTCTGCTTGGTTTTCTTGTACTGTGTGTCTGGTGTCCTTGTCAATAAATGCATGTGCCTCCATCCCTGCTGCCTTCTGCATGCTGCTGTGCCAAAAGGCAGTGGGTTGCAACCAGTCCCACTCTTGCAAATCCAGATGGAAACATTTTGTGTGCAGACAGAAATGTAAGTGTCTCTGGTCTCTGTTTCTCCAGGTGGAAATAGGCAGCTCCTGTCCTGGCTGCTCCTCTCCAATTCCTTGCTTTGGTCACCTTCATGCCTTCTCACAGAGCCGTAGAATCATGAAGGTTGGAAAAGACCTTCAAGACCATCCAATCCAACGTCAACCCACCCCACCATACCCACTAACCATGTCCCTCAGTGCCATATCTCCGTGTTTCTTGAACTCCTGCAGGTATGGGGATCCCACCATCTCCCTGGGCATGGTAGGGATGGGTTGACAGTTGGAAATAGAGGCAGCATTGCAGGTAAGACAGCTTCACCCTGTTATGCTGCAGTGTAGAGGCATTTAATTTATTGCTGTGGTTTCCTAAGGCCCCCTGGCTCCTGCAAACACCAGGCCTTGGTGTTACAGCTGCAAGGAGAGCTACCATGGTGGGATGAGGGATGTTTCAGTGCGCAAGGGGAGTGGAGTCCCTGGAAAATAGCCAGGTCAAGTTTGGGATTTAGGGTCACAGCTGTGGTTCTTCTGCTTGGGAGCAGCTCTGAGGGTGCACAGATCTCCCCATGGGGCAAAGCCAAGAGATGCTTCCATAAGCTCACAGAGTCCTTTGGTGTGCACCATCTTGGGAGCCTCCTGAACTTCCTCCTTATGGACCCAGGGGTACCGTTTGTTCCTTTTGCCCACTCCACGTGCACTCTCCAGGGCTGGGCTGCCCCTGCAGCACTGAAAGAATCCACTGAAAAACAGCAGAGGGAGCAATGCCAAGATGCAGGGACAGTGTTTATGGAGTATGTGAAATTAAAAAGTTTAAGCACTGCTCTCCTTGTCTGAGAAGCAGCCATGCTGTGCAACATAGCAGAAAAGAATCCAGTGTTAACTGAGCAAGGCTCTGTGATCAGGGGCCTGGAAAAAGGGGAGGTGGAAATGCAGCTTAGGTGTGTAATACTCCAGGATCGGGGCACATTTCCTCTGAGCCCCCAGCTAATTCCTGAGCCCTCGGGAGCTGTGATGCTCGTGAGCTGTGTCCATGTCCAGGGAAAGGTGCAGCTCTGGACTTGACTGTTCCCATCGGGAAAAAGCAACCCATTGGGCTGCCTGTGGTGTTTGGCAATGGTTGCAAGAGGAAACTTTCATCCTGAAAGCATTTTGCAGTCTGATCGAGCACTCACATACAGCACAGTCTAAAGCGAAACCAAAGTCTGAAGCTGCATCCAATAGGTGATGGATTTATTGCCTGCCAGGAAGGTACTGGGACGTGTTCATGGCAGGACCTCTGCAGCAGGGCAGACTGCAGGAGTTGCTGCCACGAGGTGGTGCTAAAAGTGAAGCAGAAGGTGCTGGGAATGCTCAGGGTTGCAGGTTGGAGCCTGCGTGCACTCGTCCTGCATGCGGCTGTCCTGCAGCAGCTCACCATGCAGCAGCAATGTCACAATGCAGAGAGGGGATGCAGGGATATGAGAACATAGCCAAGCTGGCAGTGCTCACAGCAGCTTCTCCTTCCTCCTCTGCAGCTGCTGCACTGCTTGGGTTTGTCTCCAGCTTTGTCTGCTGGGTTCTGGCATTTCTCTGAGTCTATATTTGCTTTTGGAATGAAGGTGGAATAGCTGGGCAGGACTTATGTTTTCTTTTATCACAGGATCTCAGCCTCATCTCCCACCAGAGCTGGAGATGCAATGGGCGACCTGGCTGTGCCCTAGCTGCAGGGGCCCCATTCCTTTCCAAATTGCCATTGGATGGGCACTGCAGACACGTGTTATTAGAGACATCCGCTGCTCTGTCTCAGCCTGGCACGTGTTCTCTACATGGACCCAAGTTGTCCAAGTGGCATTTGGAAACAGTGCCAGACTAAGGCAACGTATGAGAGCTATGTGTCATTTGTTCCTATTTTTAACGCCCTACTTGAGCCTTTGTGAAGGGTCAGAGAGAAGCAAAGTTTCTGTAAGGAAAAAAAGAAATCCCAAAGTAGCAAAATGTAGGAAGTGAAAGAAAATATTTCTCATACTGGGCTGTTGCAGGAGCTCCTCTGACAGCAGAGGGATGGCACAAGGGCAGTAATGAGGGCCAAGGGCGAGCAGAAAGCACAAGCTATTTTTGCCTAAATATGTGAGTTAATCAACAGCCAAAAGGCTGAGTCCTGGAAAGCAGCATGGGGCAGCAGGTGACGAAGGGGACACTGGTTCCTGGTGGAGTGCTGCACTTGGTGGCAGAGCAATGTGCTCCTCCAACAGAAAGCCCTATGGAAACAGGGGGAGGTCTTTAGGTGGAACTATGGGGAACCCTGCTTTTCTCTCCTGTGTCACCCAGTGAATCTCTCACTGTCCCAGTCTGGTGCACAATGCATCAGTAAAGGGAGGTGTGGGCTGAGTTGCAATTCCCAGTTCACCAAGTTGCTGGCGCTGTGCTCTCTGGCATGACCCTGCCATGACACTTGGCCTCTCCTTGGGTCACTCTCACCTTCCTGGGTGCAAAACCAAAAACCTGAGTGCAGCCTTCAGGCAGCTCTAAAGTCTTCTGAAAGTTTTGGGTTTCCTCTTATCATTAGTGGTGGGAATGAAATGAAATAGAACAGCTGGAAGGGTCCAACAGCTCGATCATTTCAGTGCTAAGCAAAAGTCAAAGCAAATTATTGTGGGCATTATCCAAATGCCTGCTGAACACCATCAGGCACAGCTCAGCCTGTGTGAGGGGCCCTGAGGTTGTTTTAGGGAGGGCTGGGGCTGTTGGCCAGGCTCCAGCTAACACAGGCAATGCTTCGCTGCAGGGTTATATGGGGACGTGCTCGTGGCCTGGCTGTGCAGCTGCCAAGTAAAGCAAGGAGCTGTGCCCTAAAGCACTGCTATTAAAATACAACAAATGTGAGCTAAAGCAACGATATTCCTCTCTACGGAAAAAATCTACACGGAGATGAAGCGGCCCCTTGGAGCACAGCCTGGACCTGCTGCAGCATTCTATAGTGGGACAGCAGAGCCTCGAGCCAGGTGGTGCCAAGGCTGCTCTCAGAGCTGCTGGGGCTGTTTGCCTGGAGCCGATGGGTCTGCAGGAGCACTGCTGTGGGGCAGTAGGGGAGCTGGGGACAGCCTGGCTGCTTGCCCCATGCTTCACGAGTAACTGATTAACGACCAGAATCACAGGTGAGAGGGGGAGGAACCCCACCGTCCGGCTCGTTGTGCTTCAGTATGGGTGGTGCAAGGCTTTTTCTCCTAAATTAAAACCTCTCCTGCAACATCGATGCAGATGCAGTGGTTCAGAACCCCTTCGCATAGATATTTATCCATTTGTGCTACAGTTTTAAAGAGTGAAGAGGCAACGACAGCTTTTCTCGTGAGGGAAAAGTATTTTTGCTTCGCCTTTTTCAAATGTCTTTGCATCAAATCTCAAAGCCAAGTCCAAAACTTCGGAACTCGCCGTGACCCGCCCCGCCACTACAGCGCGCTCCACCCACAAGCCCCGCCCCCTTCGTGACAGAGTAGGCGTGTCTATGCACTCCCCGAAATCTGATTGGCTGTGCGGAGACGGGCGTGGCTACAGCTGCTCTATAAATATAGAGGGGGGGGTTGGGCCAGCAGCGCCGCGGCTCAGGCCGTGCGGAGCGGTCGCGGTTGTTGCGCTCCCTCCGGCGGGGGTTCGGAGGGGCCCCGCCGGGTCCCTTTACCCTCCCCTTCCTCCTCCGGACCCCGCTGGGCCCTAGTGCCGGCCAGGTGCGCTGCAGAGCCTTCAGGGATGGGTTGGGGGTGCTGGAAGGTGGGATAGCTCAGCTTTGAGCGTCGTTACAGGGGTGCGTTGGGGGGAAGCGGGGAGGAGGCTGCTTTAGGAGGGGCTGGTTGGGTCTCGTTCACCCTTGATCCTCCTTGATCGTGGTGTGGTTCCGTGTGGTTGACACGTGGGGGTGAGCCCAAGCAGCACCGTGCCGCAGTTTCCCTGGTGCTGCAGCTCAATATGGGTGCATTGCCCCGGTGGGAGCTGGGCTGCACCCCCTGCAAAGAGTCTGAACTTGCATCCCCACCTTTGTTCCTTATGCAACTTCACGCTGAGATTTCACAACTCCGAAGCGTTGACCCGAGGAAAGTAACAGGATAGCTGCAGAGAAGCAAAACAGCTGTGCTGGGCCCCAGGAAGTTGTTGCACTGAGGCTGTGCAAGCAATTGTTTTCAAGGGAATTACTTTGGCTTTGCACAAAGCTCTGAGCCAGAGCTCTACGGCTGCACATTGACACACATTGAGGACTCTGCTGGGCGTCGCACCTGGTGTGGTCAAATCTTTTACAAAATAATCAGTCTGGTCCCTCTGCAATCGTGGCTGTTCCTTTACTTGCAGGTTTTCCATCAGCACAAACCCAGGACCCAGAGCCATGGCCTCCATCCCATCGAGTGGCTCGCTTATGGCCACGCACAACTATCACCGAAGTAAGAGCAGAGCACGTGGGGGTGTGGAGTCACTGGGAGCCCACAGGATCTCCTTGGCAAGGAAGAAGG